ATTGTTTCCATGCATATATGTATTACAATCTCAACTCGTTCATCTCTACCATTTTCCTCTTCCTTCCTCCCTAGTCTACTTCCCATGGTAGCCCTGGCCAGTTTAAGATTTCTATGTTCATTCCTGTACACTGAGCACATCAACCACATTCAAGTTTTTGATTTCCTTCCCTTGTCCTATCGCTTCTGTCCATGGCCTCCCCTTAGTGTGATCCGAGTCCCACAACATTGCTGCATTTGTTTTAAGTCTATATTCCACATATGAGAACATGCAGCTTTTGACCTTCTGAACCTGACTGACTTCCCTTAAGATGATTTTCCCAGTTCCATCCATTTACCTGAGAATGACAAAATTTCATTCTTTGTTGCTGAGTAAAATTCCATTCATCAGTAGTGGGGCATCTTGGCTGTTTCCATAGCTTGGCTATTGTGAATAATGTTGCAATAAACATAGGTGTGCAGGTGCCTTTGTAGTACCCTGACTCATATTCCTTTGGGTATATCCCTAGAAGTGGTATTGCTGGATCGTATAGCAGATCTATTTTTAGTTTTTTAAGGAGTCTCCATATTGTTTTTTCATAGTGGTTGTACTAGCTTACATTCCCACCAGCAGAGCACACTAATTTTTGTACACTAACTTTTAATTTGGCCAAGTAACAATTCTAGTTTAGTTCTATCTGCTTATAAATTGTTTACCTTGTTTTGTTTTTGAGACAGACACCTAAAATCTTATTAACTTTTTTCAAGTCTTTACTAGCCTCGTTATATTGACTGTATAGACAAGGTGAACAGTAGATGTTATACAAAGTATGCACATCTTATTTTGAACTTTAATGACAGTGTTTCTAGTGTTTCATCATTAAATGTGACATCTGTTATGATGTTCACATATGGTGTTCTTCTTCAACTTGTTTATGTAATTAAAGTTAGATTTTTCTTCATATCCTGCAGCCATAATATATTTCTCTTTTAATACAGTGGCATGTTTGATTTGTTATCTTTACAAGTATTTTTGTATCTTGAGGGCGTCATACTTAAGATGTTTTAGGTATAATGCTTATAAGATAAAATACTATCTTTTACCTTTAATAATATCCACCTTGCCTTGAACTCAATTTGTCTGTTAATATTGCTACTTCTGCTGGGGGCATGGCTCAAGGAGCACAGTGTCTGCCTCCCAAATGCAAAGCCCTGAGTTCAAACCCCCAGTACCACCCAAAAATATTGCCACTCCTACTTCCTTTTGTGCCATTTTGTTTTAAAAGGTGTCTTATAAAGAGAAGATAAGTGAACAATGCTTTTTAAAACTTAAAACTAAATTAAAACGTTAATTTAGGTCACTCACACTGTAAAAACTGATAAAGCTGAAATTTATAAAAGCAACTTTGCTTTGGGTTTTCTAGTTCTTATGCTTTCTTACTTCCTTTTTGCTCATTCCTACATTAACTTTTTAGGTGAACATTTTGGTGCACTTGAAAAGAAAGTGTATTTTCCATGGTTGTGTGTAGTAATCTGTATCTTTTTTAGTTTGAGATCGGTGGCACTGTTCAGTTCTTTCACACCCTACTAATTTTCTGTGTACTTTTTCTATAATTACTGAGAAAGGAATGTTGAACTATCTCACCATAATTGTTGATGTATGTATTCCTCTTGAATTCTCTGAGTTTATTAGACTTCATGTTACTTCAGGTTCTGGTGTGAGATGCATACTTACCACTATGTCCTCCATAAATTGATCCTATTATTTCTGTGATGTATTTCTCTTTATCTCTGGTATTAACATCTGCTCTGAATTTCTGATGTTAATATAGCTATTTCAGCTTTCCTATGATTGGTGCTCGCCTGGCATATTTTTATCACCTTTTTAATTTTTAACTCTTTGTCTCTGTATTTAAAGTGTTTTTCTTACAGACAGCAGATAGTTGTACTATGCCTTTTCATCTAATCTAACTTTTAACTGGAACCTGTAGTCCTTTTACATTTAATATAGTTTCTTACAAGGCTGGATTTAAGTCTGTCATCCTGCTATTTATTTTATATTTGTCCCATCTGCTCTTTTCTCCTTTCTTTCTTGGCATTACAATTTTTCTTTGTAGCTACTGTAAGGTTTACAATCTACTTTCAAATAATATGATACAGTTCATGGATAATTTAATACTCTTACAACATCGCAATAGTACACTTCTACTTTTTTGTGCTTTTGTTGTCATACGTTTTATTTCTTAGTTAAAAACTCAGTTCACTGTTAAAATATTTGCTTTAAATGGGCAACAACTGTTAACTCTTATATTCACCATGTTTTGTCCTCTTCATTCCTTTACATAGAGCTGGGTTTTTCTTCTGGTATTATTTTCCTACATTTTGAAGAATTATTTCTTATAGAGAAGTATGCAGGTGATAAATCTCTACTTTTATCTCAAAATGTATTCTGACATCAGTTTGAAAGACACTTTTTTTGGATGTTGGAGAATAAACCCAGGACCTCCTGCTTATCTAACCAAGAGCTATACTAGTAAGCTGTACCCCTGCCATGAAAGATACTTTTGATGAATATACAATCAAGGTTGATGATGCATTTGGTCATCTTTCTTGACATAACATTCCAAATGCTTTCTAGTTTATACTGCTTCCAACAAGAAGTCTGTTGTAATACCAGTGTTTGTATAAATAATAAATCTTTTTTCCTCTGGCTGCCCTAAGACTTTTCTATTTATAATTGGCTTTCAATAATTTTATTATGGTGTGCCTTGGTAGAGTTTCCCTATTAGGGTTTACTTAGCTTCTTGGGTATGTGGATTCGTGTTTTTTTAAAAACACATTTGGAGAAAATTCTTCTTTTATGTTTTTGTTTCAATAACACTATAATACTCCAATTACATATGTTGCATTACCTCATATTATCTCACAATTCACTACGACTTCATCTTTTTCCCAGTCTGTGCTTTGGTTTGGATGTTTCTATTATCCTCTTTTCAAGTTGGATGCCTTTCCTTCAGGAGTATCCATGGGGCTCTTAAGCATATCCAGTGAATTTTTCAGTTTAGATATTGTATTTTTCAAGTCTAAAATTCTCATTTTGTATAATTCCCTGTTTATTCTTTCAATATAATGATGTTTTCCTTTAAATCCTGAACACATTTTTAATAGCTGTTTTAAACATACTACCTGCTGATTAAATAACATCATTTGTGGGTCTGTTTTTATTTACTGATATTTTTTCTAATTTTGGTTTGTATTTTCCTGCTGTTTCTCCTAAGTAATATTTGAGTTATGCTTACTATTCTGGATTCTCTTTTTTCTTTTCTCCCAAATTTGCTTTATTTTTGTTTATATAGGCATTCCTGATAGTGAATAGATGGTAGTTACAGGAAACAATTTCCATTTCCCTCATAATAAAAAGAAAATAGTCCCTTCCTAGGTATACACTTTACTTCCAATCATATATAACAGACAAGAATCTAAGTTTAAAAAGTTCTCAAATCATACTCACTTTACCAACACTCATTTAAGGAGGCATCTATATTCCCTTTGTTACTTATGAAAATCATTCTGACTGAATAGGCATAGACTTATTGATAGCTAACTAAAACTGTCAACTTTTTAATATAGTCAACATTAGCAAGACTTCTTTTTAAAATTCTGAATCCAAACCATTCTCTTTAATGACTCTTACCAAGCTAAACAAAAAGTAAAGTCATCAGACTTCAGTCTGGCTTCCTGGCATCTACTGTCTTTGTTTTGTGCTCATTTGTTCATGAATCCATTGACTCACCTATTATTTCTTAAGTACCTACCATTAAAGAGGCACAAGGTCAGGTAATGGGAAAGCATGGTGAGTAAGAGGACAATTTCCAGCTTCACAGAGCTTATGGCCTAGTGAGAGAGGTCATCTTTTAAATCTTAACCTCAAGCCTGTTACATATGAAGCACTTAAGACATGAACTGGTTGAGCAGAAAGAAAAAAATACATAGATAGAATTGCTAAATTTCCTACTTATATGCAATTTTGTTGGCATCTTTCTTAAAATCAAGTTCAAGTTACATGATCTCTTACTTCTAAAGCCTTAGAATATTAAATAGTTCTATTAGTTTAACAAATGTTTTCTTTGCTCTATATACTTTTCCAATAAATATACAGATAGTCCCAAACTTAGGATGGTTTGGCATATAATTTTTCTACTTTACAGTGGTAAGAAAGCAATATACATTCAGTATAAACCATACTGCAAAGATTGAATATCGATCTTTTGTTAATTTGATTTTGGTGGCACTGGGGTTAAGGGCTTTGTGCGTGCAAAGCAGGCCCTCTAGTACTTGAGCCACACCTCCAGTCCCTGCTCTTTCTTGACCTTGGGGATCAGGACAGAGTATCAGCCCACAGTCAGGCATGTGATCATGAGGAAAGCAACTGATACTTCACAGTATGTGATGCTGCTCAGCTATGATATTTAGTAGTTTAGGTGCATTAATGCCCGTTGGCTTATGAATATTTTCAACTTAAAATGAGTTTACCAGGACATATCCCCATCCTAAGTTGAGAATGATGTGTATATATTAAACAATTTTATAACATACGCATAAAAACATATCTATAGAAAACCACTAAGGTCCAAAATAGTCTTTAAATAGTCATCTACACTACACAATAAACTTATTATTCATCTTTATGATAACAGTCAATGGTATTCTGACAAATGTGTAATATAAAGAAATTTGGTATTATGGTTATATAGCCCCAACTACAGTAAGAGTAATTTAAAATCATTAGTAAATTAAAGTCACTTACAAATTAGAGGTTTTTGAGAGATGTACAGGCAAAGAATAAGTATGGATAGGGACAGGTCAATCCCTTGTGGGTGCTAAGGCAGGAAAAAGGGTTGAAAACTATAGCTCTTCATAGGCAAATCTCCCTGTCTTGAAAATAATATTTTTCAAGAAAAAATACTTGATATTTAAAAGTATGTGAATCTTTACCAACTAGTTAGGACCAAAAACACTTACTTTACTGTGGCACTTAGGAGAAAGTTCAGCTGTGGCATTAACAGGTTATCTGGGGCTGAAAGATAACGATCGAATTGAACCTAAAAAAAAAAGAGGAATGCAAAATATCTCAAATACAACCATTTCTTTTAAAGATTAAATCTTAGGAAAAAGTATACATTACAAATAACTAGCTCTTTTTGTTCAAATGAGTCTGTTTTAAAAATTCTAACTAAAACTGCCAACTCTTTAATATAGTCAATATTAGCAATACTTCTTTTTAAAATCCTGAATCCAAACTATTGACTTTAATCACCCCTGTCAAGCTTAACAAGAAGTCATCAGACTTTCAGTCTGGCTTCTTGGCATTTACTATATTTGTTAACTGTTCATTTGTTCATGAATCCACTTACTCACCTATTATTTTTTAAGTACTTTTCATTAGAGAGGCCCAGTATTAGGTAATGGGAATGCACGTTGAGTAAGAGGACAAAAAATCTCCAGCTTCACAGAGCTTATGGCCTAGTGAGACAGGTATTTAACAGCTCATAATGTAAATAACTATGCAATTACAAACTGTGTTAAATGCTATGAAGGAAAAAAACCAAAGTAATATAAAGTGAAAGTTGGAGACTTAGTCTCTAAGTTTGGCAAAAGCCTCTTAAGGAAAGGACATTTGAAGTTAAGACTTTAAAGATGAACAGACAAGAAGTAGGTGGGGATTTGGATTTAGGGAGAGGAGACTGAATGCACCAAGGCTTGAAGTGGAAAGGAACATGGTTCGGAGTGCAGAGATCAGTTCACATAGGACATATTTGCTTTTTAAGTGACTAATTCTTACCATTGCTGTTAGTAAGTCACTAAGTAAGTTAAGTAAAAGTGTATTCTGACTTAAGTTTTAAGACGCTAACTCTGGCCATAGCAAGGAGAATGGGATGAAAGATTGTAACGGCTGATACAAGGCCACCAAGTAAGCAGCCACTGTAGTATTTTAGATTGGAGGGGCAGCCTAGGTAGAAGAAGAGAGATATTTGAGAAAATTAGTGTAAAAGCATCACGGCCTGGTTACTGATAGGATGAAGGGACTGATGCCCAGATTCTGGAGGATAAATTAGCTCACATTATTATAGTGCACAACTGTATTCTGCACCCATTTATTTAGGTGCATAACACCTGTATTCCTTACTAGATCATGTCTATTTTCATCTTAAATCTTAGCACAAAGCCAATAAAGTAGCAGATATTTGGTTAATAATTGTAGAAATGGTAACCAGATAGATGTTCTTAGTACCTTTTAAGTCAAGAACACTTGTAAGCTAGGTCTGGGTTTGGAGATCAGAGCTAGTTTTGGATATTCTGAGCTGAAATGCCTTTGCAACCTACCTGTTAGAGGTAAGTCAGTTGTATATAAAGCCTTGACATACTTACAAAACTCAACAGAGACTTGTTTCTTTAGAGTCACAATATATTCAAGTAACTGTTTTATTTGCTTGTGTATTTTGTTTTTCTGAGACAGGAGTTTTGCCTTGTTGCCCGGGTTGGTCTTGTAGCCCTCGCTAGTTTTAAAATCACAATCTTTCTGCCTCTGCCTCCCACATGCTGGAGTTTCAGGCACATGCCATTGTTTTTAAAATTAAGACTACACACATAAGAATATTTAATGATGTTAAAAAGTAGTTTTATGTTATAATGTGGACCAAACGCCTGTCAGGAAAGAAGAAGAAACACAGGGAGGAAACACACTGGGCTCTAGGTGATGTTGCTAATCTTTGCATAAACCTTATGTCCATCTTGTGGGGTAATACTTGATATAGGGTTATTGGATAGTGTAGTGAGTTTGCATATAATTTTTTAAGAAACACATATTTTTAAATGAATCTAAAATTCATTCATTCTCATTCTTAACTGTTTCTTTTGGCAGTATTGGGGTTTGAACTCAGGACCTCATGCTTGCCAGGCAGGTGCTCTATCACGTGAGCCACTCTGCAAGCCCTTATTTATACCTTTTCAACATCACATTTTCTTCCCATTTCTATAGTTTTGCTGCTACAGTTTTTGTTTAATACATGGAAGTTACAATTGCTACTTCTCTATGCAGGGTCTTTTATCTTGACATAATGTTCCTATTCATTGTATTAATATAGATAGTTCTGCCTTTTTCTTTGCATTAGTTAGATGTTTTTATTGTCAGTTATTTTTAATTCTGGAAGGTGATCTATACACAAGCCCTGCCTTCAGAATAGCATCTTAGAGAAATACTTATGATAATTAGAGCACCACTGTAGTGAGTGTTTTAAACACTTGGGAGAACAGAGAAGTAGGTCAGCCCATGGACTCTGCAGGATGACTTTCCATGAGGACTGGAGTTTGAGCCAGAGAGATGTGTGGCATGCTCAGGAAAGGCTAACGGCTACTGCTGTTCATGGTCGTCCTGCTCTAGTAATCCTATTAGAAAGGGGAATATGACACAGTACATTGTAGACACAAATGAAACTATCAAAATGAAATCCCTTAAAGATGTTGTTTTTTAAAAAATTTCCAAAGGTGATGGATATATGGATATATACACATATCTATAAAAGGGATGGATATTTGTGTAAATACACACACACACACACATACACGGAAACATGCTACAAAAAGTAGTGTTCATATATAAAAGAAAGAGCAAACTCTTCACTTAAAAAGAAAGTAGTGAAGTTTGAGGTTTAGTGAGTCTCGTGCTCAAGAGAAGTATACTGTATTAAAACTAGATTCCATGGTTATGCCCGTAATCCTAGCTATGCTAGGATTATTAGGAGGATAGTGGTTTGTGGCCAGTTGGGACAAAACTTTATGACACCCCATCTGAACAAAGAAGCTGGGCATGGTGGCACACATCTGTCTGTAATCCCAGTTACATGGTAGGTATAGGTAGGAGGATCATGTTCTCAGGCAAAAATGTGAGACCTTATCTGAAACATAACTAAAAGCAAAAAGGGAAGGAGGCATGGATCAGCTAGTAGACATCTTGTCCCACAAGTATAAGAACCTGTGTTCAAATCCAGTACAACCAAAAAAATAAATAAATAAAAACTGGAATCCACTTTTAGCTATCATCTCCTTTAGAAAGAAGTCAAGAACTATAAACCAGGGATCATGGCAAGCAAAGCTATGATGTATGGTCTAACTTCTTCATGACTGTCATTCTTGTTTCTTTATCAGATTAGAAATAAAAGTCTGAAAATGAGGAAATCCTAAACAGTAATGATGAAGCTATCAGGTGCAGTGGGATAACCCTAAGTTTAAGTCTTAGTCAGACTTGATGTGAAATAATACATGAACAAATAGGACAAAATTATCATGAAGCAAGAGAAGAATAACATTTCATAAGGGAAGTGTGAATTGAAATGTGTCACTATGCGCTTACCATTGCAGCCTTCAGTGCCACAGAATCTAGGTTGGGCAGATTAGCTAAAGAGCCCTATTAAAAACAAAAACAAACAAGAGGTTAAAAATGGGGACATACATTTCAGTTCACCTATGGAATATGGTCTATTAGTGGAATGCGCAGACTGAAAAATCATTCGGTGATCTTCAAAGGATTCAAGAGTCACCTCCTCAATCTCGAGAGCAGTGTACTGATTGTGAGTAAGAAGCACAACGCACTTACAGGGGAAGGGTCACGGATTTCAGACTTGCAACAGCCAAGAAAAGGATGGCGCTAAAGCTCCTGGAAGGTGCCAGTCAGACATGGGGGCTGAGAGTGTCCCTCTGAGAATTTTAGGGAACATAGAACAGCAGCAGAATCAGTTTCCACTGGTATAAATTTGATCACTACTGCAGTAAGTATTTTTGAGAACTTCATTTAAAAGTTCTTCGGCTATAATATATTCTTCATGTTAACATCACTTGAAAGTATTCATTGGCTTTTAAAGACAGGTGGCTTGCTTCATGTTCTAGGGTTCCCCCCACTCCATTATCTGCTTACACTGGGGCTTTATAATTTAACAAGATCATTTACAGGCCCCAGAAGCAATTACCTTTCCTTTAATGATTTGCTAAATTAAAAAGAGGATTAATACTGTTTATATAGGAATTGACGCATTCATTTCCTACTTCTTTTTCTTTTTTTCTTTTCTCTTTTTAGAGATAGGGTCTCATTAGGCAGCTCAGCTGGGCTAGAACTTGCAATCTTCCTGGCTCCGCCTTCCAAGTACTGGATTACAGATTGCTTCACCAAATGTAGTATAATCTATGTATTCAATTAGCTGAAAATGATACAGAACTTTAAAATTTTTACCAGTGTGAATATCCTTTATACTTTTTATGATACTAATTTCTATAACTACTTGTATTTAGGGGCACTCTACTACATCTCAGGCAGTCATCTAAGAACTACACATGTAGCATCTCAATCTTCAGAACAACTCTATGACACAGACATGATAACTAAGCCTAATCTGTAGAGAAGGAAACAGACACAGAGAGGTAAATCATTTTCCCAGGAAAACATAGCCAATCAGTGTAGAGCCAAGATTCAAATTCAGAGTCCACCAGTGGAAGCCATTCTGTAAACTGTCTTGTTTCTCAATTTAAGGATCACTATGTGCTTACCTGTTCGGGTTTATGTTGCTGTACAGTGTTGTAGATATAACTCAAGCCTACTCTAGTTAAAACATAAGACGCTTGCTCATTTATAAGTGTATCCAAGTGTGCTTCAATCTAAAATAAAACACAATAGAAAGAAAACATTTTAAAAGAGGAATGACACTCTCAGGAGGCTGAGCTAGTTGTCAGGTAGCCCATGATCATGGGGCACAGGATGGCTTCTAAAAAAAGGCTTTTTATTCATAAAGGAAGTCCTTGCATGAAAGGAAGAGAAAGTCTTACTTTAAAAAATTATAACCAAACGCCAGCACCCAGACAGCTTGGGAAGACACAGACCACAAGGTGAGCTAAGCGGTACACGGTACTCCCACAGACAACCCTGGACCAGATCAGCATAGCCCCCTGGACAGACCGACCCCCACCCAGGAAAAAAGAGAAACTGAATAATAAGCAACAACAACAACAGAAAAGACACATAGCAAAGAGGGTGGGGTGCCCTGAGCACTAAAGGAGGGGGAGGGGGATCCCTCAAGGAACTGTAAATAAACAAGCCGGGCGGGAGAAGGCAGGAGCAGCAGCACATGCCCAGCAACCAGGAGTGGGAAAGCTTGTAAAAGTGGCAGAGGGAGGAAAACTCCACAGGAGAGGGGAGAAGACCACTTCCCACGTGAACTGTAAATAAACACACATGCCTGAGAAAGTTGGTGCAGTGTCACCTCCCCCAGTGTGCTTGGAAAGGGGAAAGCTTGCAGCAGTGGTGGTCATACTCAGGAGAACTCTGAGTAAACAAAGCCTGAGAGGCTAGCTGAGTTTTAAGCTCACTCCTGAGATCTGCATAAATAACGCCGCCAGCAACAGCAGGCTGACAGCAGCGGGCAGGCAAGCCACAGCCGCAGATAGCCATTCACAGAACTGTTTCCAGACTTTTTTTTTTCTCTCTCCCTACCTTTGATGCAAAAACAACCGAACTACACCTGCATGCTGAAAAACTTACTGAAACTGTATTGCATTTGAAATTGGGACACTTTGAGGGTTTTTGTTTGTTTGTTTTGTGAAGTTTTGTTTTATTTTGATTTTTCCAGTCTTTTTCCCCTTTAATGAGACAACCACAGAACTACTTCTGAGGCACCATCTCCAAGACTGGAGGCTGAACAGCAAAATTATTGAGACTGAAACTTTATTGCATTTGAACTTTATATATGTATATTTTTTTCATTTATTTCTTTCTTACTTTTATTTTTATTTTAATTTATTTTTTAATTTTTATTTTCAATCCTCTCTCTGTCTAATGCCTGTTTCAGCTTACAGTTGAATAGTACACTATCTCTCCCTGTTTTTATCTTTGAAACTTTTTTTTGTTTCTTTGTTGTTTTTTTCTACTTGTTTATTTTTCCCTTTTCCTTTAACTTCTTTGCTTTCCATCCCCTCTCACACTTCCATTCTAAATATCACTAGTGCTATTATTATAAGACAGAAAATACTTAATTGCACACAGTACAGAGACAATAACAACACCAAGGGCAATGATGGGAAGACAGAAAAAACAGGGAAACCAGTTTCCCCACAGCAAAAAATTAGTACAGGAACCAGAGGGAAATGAAGAAAACAGATACTCAGATCTAGACTCCAACAAAATGAAGATAAACTATGCCAAAGAACCCAATGAAGCCCACAAGAATAACCTAAAAGAAGAAATACTACAGGTACTCAATGAGAATTTTATAGAGATGATACTGGATAGGGTCAACCAAAATGTACAGGAGACACACAAGAAATTCCAAGACAACAAAAACAGAGAATTTGAAAAAGAAAAAGAAGAAATAAAGGAAACCATAGAAGCACTGTATAAACACCAAAGTGAAACAGAGAACACAATTAATAAAGAGATAAATGAACTCAGGACAAAAATAGACAACATAAAAGAGGAAACCACCCAGGATATGGAAAACCTCAGAAGAAAGAATTAAACAGAATTGCAAAACAAAACGGAAGGCCAATCCAGCAGAATAGAACAAACAGAAGACAGAATCTCAGAACTCGAAGATGAAATGGTAATTAAAGGAAAAAACAAATAACTATTAATTAAACAACTGAAGACCTGTGAAAAGAAAATGCAAGAACTAAATGACTCCATCAAAAGACCAAACCTGAGAATCATGGGTATTGAAGAAGGAGAAGAGGTGCAAGAAAAGGGAATGTATAATATATTCAACAAAATAATAACAAAAAATGTCCTAAATCTAGAGAAAGCTATTTCCATACAAATGCAAGAGGCCTCCAGGACACCAAACAGACCAGATCAAAATAGAACTACCCCACAACATATCATCATTAAAACAACAAGTTCAGAAACGAGGGAAAGAATATTGAAGGCTGTAAGAGAGATAAAACAAATAACATACAAAGGTAAACCCATCAAAATCACAGCAGACTTCTCAAGAGAAATATTAAAAGCAAGAAGAGCATGGGGAGAGATCTTCCAGGCACTGAATGAAAATAACTTCAACCCCAGGATACTCTACCCAGCAAAACTATCATTCAAAATAGATGGAGCAATAAAAGTATTCCATGATAAGCAGAAACTAAAACAATATGTGACCACAAAGCCACCACTACAAAAGATTCTTCAAGGGATTCTGCACACAGAAAGTGAAACCCAACATAACCATCAAAGGACAGGCAGCACCAAACTACAGGAAAAGAAAAAGCAAGAAAGTAGACAGTAACCTCAACTTTGGTACACACAATCAAACCTTCAAACAACTAAGACAACTAAATGACAGGAATCACCACATACCTATCAGTACTAACACTTAATGTTAATGTACTTTATTCCCCCATCAAAAGGCACTGTTTGAGGAAATGGATTAAAAAGGAAGATTCAACAATCTGTTGCTTACAGGAGACCCATCTCACCGACAGAAATAAGCATATGCTTAGGATGAAAGGCTGGAAGAAGATTTACCAAGCCAATGGCCCCCCGAAAACAGGCAGGAGTAGCAATACTTATTTCAGACAAAGTAGACTTTAAACCTACATTGATCAAACGAGATAAAGAAGGACATTCCATACTAATAAAAGGGGAAACAGACCAAGAGAAAATAACAATTATCAACCTATATGCACCCAATGTCAACGCACCCAATTTCATCAAACATACCCTGAAAGACCTAAAAGCACATATTAACTCCAACACAGTGATCATGGGAGATTTTAACACCCCATTATCATCAATAGATAGGTCATCCAAACAAAAAAATCAATAAAGAAATCCAAGATCTAAAATATACACTAGATCAAATGGACCTGCTTGATGTCTACAGAACATTTCATCCAACTTCTACACAATATACATTCTTCTCTGCAGCCCATGGAACCTTCTCCAAAATAGATCAAATCCTAGGGCACAAAGCAAGCCTCAGCAAATACAAGAAAATAGAAATTATACCATGCGTACAATCTGATCACAATGCAATAAAGCTAGAACTCAACAACAAAAGTAAAGACAAAAAACAAGCAAACAGCTGGAAACTGAATAACTCATTACTTAATGAACAATGGGTCATTGATGATTTAAAAGAGGAAATTAAAAAGTTCCTGGAAGTCAATGAAAATGAGAACACGACTTACCGGAACCTATGGGACACAGCAAAAGGCAGCCCTGAGAGGAAAGTTTATAGCCATGAGTGCATATATTAAAAAGACTGAAAGATCTCAAATCAATGACCTAATGATACATCTCAAACTCCTAGAAAAACAAGAACAAGCAAATCCCAAAACAAATGGAATATAAGAGAAATAATAAAAATAAGAGCTGAAATCAACAAAATAGAAACCAAAGAAACCATACAAAGAATTAATGAAACAAAAAGTTGGTTCTTTGAAAAAATAAACAAGATCTACAGACCCTGGCAAACCTGACTAAAATGAGGAGAGGAGAAACCCAAATTAGTAGAATCAGGAATGCAAAAGGGGAGATAACAACAAACACCATTGAAGTCCAGGAAATCATCAGAGACTACTTTGAGAACCTATATTCAAATAAATTTGAAAATCTTAAAGAAATGGACAGATTTCTAGATACATATGATCATCCAAAACTGAACCAAGAGGAAATTAATCACCTGAATAGATCTATAACACAAAATGAAATTGAAGCAGCAATCAAGAGTCTCCCCAAAAAGAAAAGTCCAGGACCTGATGGACTCTCTGCTGAATTCTATCAGACCTTTAAAGAAGAACTGATACCAACCCTCCTTAAACTGTTCCATGAAATAGAAAGGGAAGGAAAACTGCCTAACACATTTTATGAAGCCAGCATTACACTTATCCCAAAACCAGGCAAAGACACCTCCAAAAAGGAGAACTATAGGCCAATCTCCTTAATGAATATTGATGCAAAAATCCTCAATAAAATAATGGCAAACTGAATTCGACAACACATTAAAAAGATTATTCAGCACGACCAAGTAGGCTTCATCCCAGGAATGCAGGGGTTGTTCAACATACAAAAATCAATAAACATAATAAACCACATTAACAGAAGCAAAGACAAAAACCACTTGATCATCTCAATAGATGCAGAAAAAGCCTTTGATAAGATCCAACACCATTTCATGATAAAAGCTCTAAGAAAACTAGGAATAGAAGGAAAGTACCTCAACATTATAAAAGCTATATATGACAAACCTACAGCCAGCATTATACTTAACAGAGAAAAACTGAAACCGTTCCCTCTAAAATCAGGAACCAGACAAGGATGCCCACTATCTCCACTCCTATTCAACATAGTACTGGAATTCCTAGCCAGAGCAATTAGGCAAGAAGAAGGAATAAAAGGAATACAAATAGGTAAAGAAACTGTCAAAATATCCCTATTTGCAGACGATATGATCCTATACCTTAAAGACCCAAAAAACTCTACTCAGAAGCTCCTAGACACCATCAATAGCTATAGCAAGGTAGCAGGATATAAAATCAACATAGAAAAATCATTAGCATTTCTATACACTAATAATGAACAAACTGAAAAAGATATATGAAAACAATTCCATTTACAATAGCCTCAAAAAAAAATCAAATACCTAGGTGTAAACCTAACAAAGGATGTGAAAGACCTCTACAAGGAAAACTATAAACTTCTGAAGAAAGAGATTGAGGAAGACTATAGAAAGTGGAGAGATCTCCCATGCTCATGGATTGGTAGAATCAACATAGTAAAAATGTCTATACTCCCAAAAGTAATCTACATGTTTAATGCAATTCCCATCAAAATTCCAATGACATTCATTAAAGAGACTGAAAAATCTACCGTTAAATTTATATGGAAACACAAGAGGCCACGAATAGCCAAGGAAATACTCAGTCAAAAGAACAATGCTGGAGGTATCACAATACCTGACTTCAAACTATATTACAAAGCAATAACAATAAAAACAGCATGGTACTGGCACAAAAACAGACATGAAGACCAGTGGAACAGAATAGAGGACCCAGATATGAAGCCACACAACTATAACCAACTTGTCTTTGACAAAGGAGCTAAAAATATACGATGGAGAAAAGACAGCCTCTTCAACAAAAACTGCTGGGAAAACTGGTTAGCAGTCTGCAAAAAACTGAAACTAGATCCATGTATATCACCCTATACCAATTTAACTCAAAATGGATCAAGGATCTTAATATCAGACCAAACTCTAAAGTTGATACAGGAAAGAGTAGGAAATACTCTGGAGTTAGTAGGTATAGGTAAGAACTTTCTCAATGGAACCCCAGCAGCACAGCAACTAAGAGATAGCATAGATAAATGGGACTTCATAAAACTAAAAAGCTTCTGCTCATCAAAAGAAATGGTCTCTAAACTGAAGAGAACACCCACAGAGTGGGAGAAAATATTTACCAGCTACATCAGACAAAGGACTGATAACCAGAATATATAGGGAACTTAAAAAACTAAATTCTCCCAAAACTAATGAACCAATAAAGAAATGGGCAAGTGAACTAAACAGAACTTTCTCAAAAGAAGAAATTCAAATGGCCAAAAACACATGAAAAAATGCTCACCATCTCTAGCAATAAAGGAAATGCAAATTAAAACCACACTAAGATTCCACCTCACCCCTGTTAGAATAGCCATCATTAGCAACACCACAACAACAGGTGTTGGCGAGGATGTGGGGAAAAAGGAACCCTCTTACACTGCTGGTGGGAATGTAAAGTAGTACAACCACTCTGGAAAAAAATTTGGAGGCTACTTAAAAAGCTAAACATTGATCTACCATTTGATCCAGCAATACCACTCTTGGGGATATACCCAAAAGACTGTGACACAGGTTACTCCAGAGGCACCTGCACACCATGTTTATTGCACTATTCACAATAGCCAAGTTATGGAAACAGCCAAGATGCCCCACACTGAGAATGGATTAAGAAAATGTGGTATCTATACACAATGGAATTTTATGCAGCCATGAAGAAGAACGAAATGTTATCATTCGCTGGTAAATGGATGGAATTGGAGAACATCATTCTGAGTGAGGTTAGCCTGGCCCAAAAGACCAAAAATTGTATGTTCTCTCTCATATGCTGACATTAGATGAAGGGCAAACACAACAAGGGGATTGGACTTTGAGCACATGATAAAAGCGAGAGCACACAAGGGAGGTGTGAGGATAGGCAAGACACCTAAAAAACTAGCTAGCATTTGTTGCCCTTAATGCAGAGAAACTAAAGCAGATACCTTAAAAGCAACTGAGGCCAATAGGAAAAGGGGACCAGGAACTAGAGAAAAGGTTAGATCAAGAAGAATTAACCTAAAAGGTAACACCCATGCACAGGAAATCAATGTGAGTCAACTCCCTGTATAGCTATCCTTACCTCAACTAGCAAAAACCCTTGTTCCTTCCTATTATTGCCTATACTCTCTCTACAACAAAATTAGATAAGGGCAAAATAGTTTCCGCTGGGTATTGAGGGGGGGGGAGAAGGAGGGGGAAGGGAGGGTTGTAAGGGAGGGGGTGGGGGCAGGGGGGAGAAATGACCCAAACATTGTACGCACATATGAATTAAAAAAAAAAAAACAATTATAACCAGGGGAACTCAGGACTAATCATTAGCCAAAGAACATGGGTTGCTTCTCAGCTCCTTTAAAAGCAGAACTCAAACAAAAACTAGGAATAACAACAGTATAAAATAAATTACTTAGGAAGAATTCTGAGAAGATGAAGGTTTTATGTGCCTGACCTCCTGCCCTCCTGACCCTCCAACTGCTGGACTGACTCAACAAAAACAACGTGAGAAACCTGTAGGAAGGTGCACTGCAAATGAGGCACTGAGTTCTTCAAGGATAAAGCAGGTCTGCAATAAGCAAAGAAGACCTGATGGCCTGGCAGAACCCTGGTCAAAGATTTCAGGTTCAGGGCTGGGGGCATGGCTCAAGTGGTAGAGTGCCTGAGTTCAAACCCTGATACCACCAAAAAAACTAAATATACAAAAACAAGTGAAAATGATTTCAGGTTCAAGAATGGCCAAAGAAGATCCAGCCAGCAGATGTGAGTGGTTTGCACTCCCTGACTTTGTGCTGTCTTTGGGGAAGCAACCCAGTGCTACTGGGGGCTTATTGATTTAACCCCCGTGATAGGTTAAAGCATTCCCTAGTAATAAGATGCCTGCTCCTCCCTTGTTTTTGCCAGTAAATCCTGAAAGTCTGGAGGTTGTCCTTCTATTCCTCACCAGAAATTCCACCAGTTTGTCTGTCAATGGTGCGGAATACTGCCAGCTGTAGTCTTTGTCACTATCTGAAATGCCTGCCTTCTTCAAGTAACTCTAACATCTATACTGTTGCCCTTAAGAAACTTACAACTTTCACTTTTTAAATGTAAACATTTAAAGTATAATTGGAACCTTTACTTACTGGACTTACTGTAAATCAAAGAAAAGTAGATGTGCAAATTAAGTGTTAAATGAAATAAGAAACAGTTACTGCTAAAAACCAAACTAGAGGCCTGGAAGAAAAGTGGAAGAAAATTAATATAGAGTAAATGTCAAAGAAATAAGTTAATATAAAGAGACTTAAAAGAAATTAGAGAATAGATCCATGAGACAGAATTGACCAAGGATAGGAACTTTAGAATATGAGACATAACACAAAGAGAAATGAAGATATAAGAAATAATACAGTTTCAATGAACAAAAGAAAGGTTTTGATCTTCAAATTGAGATGTCTCTCAAAGTCTACTACAGAAATAATAGAAAACAAGACACTCTTAAAAATATTCTGGGGAAATACCCTAGCTCAAAGGAAATTCTAGTAAGCTTCCGAATGAACAGACTTGATTACTAAAGCAGAGGGAACCAGGTTAGCCTGGCCTTTTTACTTGACACACTGGAGAAAGCTAAGTCAGAGTGGAAGAGTATTAGGACAATGGACAAAAAAGGTCTGAAAATCAAGAATCTTTACTGACAAACTGTTACTGTGGAGGACCTAATACACCACGCCTTTCAGCATTCACACCTTTGTTGACCCTTTTCCATAATGAATATGGGTTCTCCATGTGGCCGGTACTGGTCAATGCCAAATAGTAAGCACGGCGACGCAAGTACAGGATTAAGAAACACTTCCACCTTGGGGCTTGTCCGCTCAGAATTTCCAATCAAAGAGATAGCTGAAAATATTCTAATAATTTCATATAAACAAAGCTATTCAAAAAAGGAAAGTTAATAATTCTTCATCGCCTATATCAGCCATAAATAGTGTTTACAAAGGCATAATAACTTAACACAGTATAACTACACTGGAAGGGTGGGAAAATTCTAGGTAAGACCATGTGTGTGTGCAAGCAGAGAACTAACTTTTTAGTTAGCAAGTTCAATATACCAAAGCTAAAAAAAAAAAAAGAAACCCCAAAACCCAAGACAAAAAATTGCAAGTAGCAATATACACATGCATTTAGTTATAAACACCAAATGTACTTTAGAGCAAAACAAGGAACAGAAATGTTAGGGTGGAGAGGATAGAACACTGTTGCACCTTTTTGTAACAAACTCTAGTATTATCTGATTTTAAAGCATGAATATGGTTAATTCTGAAATATTTCATTTAAAGAAGGAATTAGAATTTAGAAATTATCATATATTTTCAGTCCTCAGAAAACTCAAAACTTAAATGAAGTTTTACTTTGTCCACTACCAAATTGTCTATATATGATCTGTGATAACAAAGAACGTTCAGAGGTTTTTTTGGTTTTTTTCTCCTTAAACAATGCTTCTACCAATACTGCTTTAAAATTGGAACCCAAATATCTGGTAAACTTTACAAATGGCTTTGTTTTAGCCATCGTATAGACTCTTAATGAATACCATTTGGTTTATAGGAATAGAGTAACTGGCATAACAAATTGTAATGTTTTGCCTAACACTGATTTACACAGGATAAAAATATATCTGTCCTCTGTAACACATTCCACACTAGCTACACAGCTTGAAAAATATAGCATATTGTTCACAGTTCAAGATCTGAAATCTGTAACAGCACTGAATAACTATCTAAATTAATCAAAGAGCTGCATGATATCCATGATGATCTGAATCAAATATCTTAACCATTTCATATTCTGGGTTCTACAAAGCTGAAACCAAAATGCTCTTTGTGTATGTATGTGTGTGTATCCTTCCTTTATAGTACATCAATGGAGTTACAAGAATCAGGTCAAAGTCCGTAACTTACAGCTATATTGTGAAGAAAAAAGATTCTATTCCAATGGAATCATTTTTTTCTTAGTTTATTCATATGTGCATACAAGTTTGGGTCATTTCTCCCCCCTACCCCCCGCCCCCTCCCTCTCCCCTCTGCTTCCTCCCTCTCCCTTACCCTCTCGCTTCCAGGCAGAAACTATTTTGCCCTTATCTCTAATTTTGTTGAACAGCGATTATAAACAATAGTAAGAAGGACAAAGCATTTTTGCTACTTGAGATAAGGATAGCTATACAGGGAGATTCCTAGCATTGCTAATCAATCATTTTACAGAAAAATTTACCTGAAATTGTAGCATTTCTAGACGTGTGTCAGTGAATTCAAATAGCGCTAATGTTGTCTTCATCATGTAGAGTGAATTGACCATGAATGTGGCCATGTCAGCTGTGCCTAAATTGCTAGCTGATACTGTACACATCTGGAGGAGAGGATCCAAGACACATGATAAAACCTAGAAGTGAAAACTAAAGTTAATTCTTTACTTCCTAATCAGTGATATGGTGCTGAGTTAATGGAAATTCAGAATTAATGCTAAACCAATCAGAAGGCAACTAACTTATAGAAGTACATAAGAAAAAGATTAAATAATAACCATATTGTTTAAAATGGGCATCACTGAATTAATAGTTTTTAAAATAAAGCAAACTGATTTAATATTGAAGGAAAATCAACAAGGAAGGGGTTATAAAAATATATGGGTTACAAATGCCAGCACTTGAAGAGATTGTATAACAGAGGAACAAAAAGCAATCACTAAAATGAATTTACAAACTACCTGCACAAAGTCAGCTTGACGAGCATCTAACGGTACAACTGAAGAATCATGAGATGCCAGAACTTCACGCAGCAACATGAGTGTCTGATTTAGTGCAGAACTTGGTCCGAGATCAGGTGGTGGGAGTTCAACCTAAAATAAAGAATGGTTTTACCACTGCTTATATTTTTTTCTCCAAATTTTAAAGTACGCATGACAGTTCATACTAAAACAATATATATGAAAAATATAAAGCACTGGCTAACACATTAGAAATGTGTAACTTATCAACATCTTATGTGGAAGCATATGAATCAGCATAGAAAGTGACTCAAGTTTTAGTCAGATTATTTAAGAATTCATGTAACTTTGTATTCTAAGACTCAAAAGATTATAAAGAAATTAGTGTTCATTTGAAATGTAGAACTGTATTTGAAATGACCTAGCATTTTTGTTTGTTTTTATTTTTAGCCCGAGTCATAGAAAACAGCAATGCAAAGACCAGTGCTATCCCAACCACAATATAGCTGCAAAACATCACCTACTCTCAGGCTCAGCTCTCAGGTATCAAGAGGCTAGTCCATGGGCCACACACTCTGCAAACCACTTAACAGAAATACTGCAACAGTACCATTAAAGTCTTGGGTTCTGGAGTTAAATTAAGTTCAAATCCTGTATCTACTAGTTAATAACTAGTAGGTTTTTTCTCAGAGATTCAGAGGAATTTTGCCAGGATTAAATGGAATTCATTTTTGCATCTAAACTGCTGAGCAGAGCACTTAGAATTTACTGAAAATTTATTAAGTGCTTAAAGCATGGGAAGATTAGACCCTGCCTATAATATTTTTTAAAAACATTTTTTTCAGAGTACCTATAATATTAGTGAGATTTTATAAATGAACAATATTTAGCAGTTAGAATCTATGTAGGAGACTCTAGCCTTGTGTCGGGTTGAGAGAAAAAGCACAAGAATTTTTAAGTATCAGGATTTGTTTTAAGAACACTTGATGTATAAAACCTTAACACATGACATCAGCAGGAATGGCAGAGTAAAAATCCTTTTTCCTTTATAAAAGCAACAAGAACAAAAAATTATGAGACAGCAAATAAGGAAATACTGTCCACAACAGAAAAGAGACAGAAACTTTCCCTGAAGGAGCGAAGACATTGGCTTACTACCAATTTAAGTTAATTATTATAAGTATGTTCAAAGATCATGTTTGAGGAACCAAAGGAAAGTATGAAAATACCAACTCTTCAAATAGAGAAGATCAACAGACAGAAATAATTAAATAAAAATTCTGAAGTTGAAGCCAAGTGCAGTGGCTCAAGCCTGTAATCCTAGCTACAGTGGAAAGTGAAGTGTAAAATAGGAGAACCAAGGGCCTAAATGGTTGAAGCAAAAATCAAGACTCTATCTCAAAAATAACCAGAGTAGAAAGGGCTGGAAGCATGGCTGAAGCCATAAAGTGCCTGCCCAGCAAGCACAAAGCCCTGAGTTCAAATCCTAGTTCCACAAAAAAAAAAAAGGAAGGAAGGGAGGGAGGGAGGGAGGGAGGAAGAAAAAGAAATCTGAGGTTGAAAACACAACTGAAATTAAAATTTTACTATAGGTGTTCTATAGTAGATCTCAGCAGGCAGAATAAGTAATGGTGAACTTGAAGATGGGTCAACTGAGATGATTCAGTCTGAGAAGTAGGAAGAAAATGAATAGAGCTTCAGAGGTCTTTGGTGCCTCTTCACAACACAAGCATAATGGGAACTCCAGAAGAAGAGGACAAACAGTAGAATACAAAGATTCTATTAAGACAGGCTGGTGGAGAGGCTCAAGCAGTAGAGCACCTGCCTAACAAGTGTGAAGCCCTGAGTTCAAATCCAAATACCACTAAAAGAAGGAAATGAAAAAGAATATTTGAAGAAATAAGGCAGATGACTTTCTGAATTTGATGAAGAATATATATCTAAACATCCACACTGAGACATATCACAATCAAACTGTCAAAAGACAAAGAATCTTGAAAGAAACAAAATAAATTCATTATGACAAAGGGATACTGAGTAATTATTAACAACTGATTTCTCACTTCAAGGCTGAATGACTCATATTTAAGGGATGAAAAGAAGCAAAATGCCAACTAAGAAGTCTATCTGCAGAAAAATTATTTTTCAAGAATGAAGGAGAAATTAGGACATTCTTAAATAAAAATGTTTTCACTACCCTTCAGGAAATACTAAATGAAAGGGACACTAGATACTCACTAAAAATATGAACAGGGAACACCAGTAAAAGTTCCAACACAGATAAATGTAAGATAGTATTAATAACTTTTGTGACTTCTTTCTTTCCTATCTGACTGAAAAGACAATGCATGAGGCAATAATTATAAATCTGCACTGGTGGGCATACAATGTAGTAAGATGTAATTTGTAATAATAACAGCATAAAGGAAGGAGCTATACAGGAAGAAAGTTTTTAGATATGGGTGAAGGTAATTTGGTACTAATCTAAGCTAGGTTGTTATAAGTAAATTAAGATGTCAATTGTAATTCCCAGGCACCATCAGGAAAATAACTGACCAACCAACTAAATACAGACAAATAAATAAATAAAAAGGGCATTAAAATGTGTTACAAATTAATTATCTAACACAAACGAAGCAATGGAGAAACTATTATTAATTTGACATGGGCTTCATTTAAGACATATTGCATCCTTTCAAATTAGAATTGTGCTGCTATTATTATAGTAGGAAGAATTTCAGGAAATGTCTGTCTAGCTTAAATTGATATGGCATTGTGCCTTTTACAGTACAGACACAGGCCCTCTTCAAACGTCCCTAGATTTGCAGCTGTGAATGCTTCAGCAGAGGCTGATGAAGAAGGGGTACACAGACATGAATGCTCAAGTGCTCCAAACTGCTTTGTTGGGGAAAAGGTGTATCTTTCAATAAAATGATGTCCTTGAGTTTTCTTTTTTTATACCAGATAAAGAAATAGCTACCAAATATGTCTTTTTAAAAGCACAAAAGGAATCATGCAAAAATGTTTCTGTCTATATCTTTATTTTTTATTAAAAGCACTATTCTAACAATTTTATTATGTACTTAAAATTCTATTAACAAAAATTTCCACTTGGTGCTTTGCTAATAAAGAACACTCTGTAATACCTGCTGTTTTCTTCATAAGGTTAGAATCATTTTAGAGAAAGCAAAATGCTTTACATGAGGTAAAATAAAAGAAGGATATTTTATATTAATTATTTTATATTAGTTATATATGTATCATTAAAATTTGACAAAGAAAGATATTGAGAGAAATCTGAAATGGTTGTAGATATAAGCAATATATAAATTGCAAACAGTGTCATAATCCAACCTCAACTTAATGTTAAAATATACCTAAAATATAGCTCAATTTCTAACTGAGAAAAACATTTCCAGGTACAAATCCCAGTAGCAATGACAACAACACAACAATGGTCAGACCCATTCTCTGCAGTATTCATTGGTACCTAATTTGCCACAAGAATAAAATAAAATAAATGGATAACCATTTGGAAAAGATAAGATACCAACTTCTAAATATTGTCAAAAATAAACTTAAAGTTTATTTACTTAAATTTAAAATATGACATAAAAGTGAACACCTAAGAACATTTATCAAATGTGTATGTGTTGAAAAATTCATAATTTTCTCACTAGTAGATGCTAACTTTATCATAAAGTTAAATTCTAAACATATTTTCATGTGAGGAAATTTTCAAGCATGGCATACTTTCAAGTGAGAAGCTAAATGGGAAAATTTTTGTATTTTATTGTATAAAAATTAAAAATTGATGTGTCAAAAAGACTACAGGCAAATTTAAAAGGCAAGTGATAACTTGGAGAAAATGCTTTTAATATATATGACAGAGTTAATATTCTTAACTGATATTCTGATATAAAGAACATCAGAAATTAGCGACTTTTAGCACTGCTAAAAAAAATTATTTATCCCTACAGATTGGAGTCACTGAAATTCTCTGCCTCCAGCATCTGCAAAGCCTCCTGATGTGCAGCAAATGTTGCATGATGGATACAGCAATCCCTTTATCAAGTGTACCACACTACCCACTCCCTACCCAATGTGCCAACCTGGCTAAAACTGGACAGCAGGCATTTTAGAAGATCTTTGCTAATGTGTGAGCAGAAACTGGTATCTCACTGTTTTCAGAACGGATTTTTTTAATGTTTATTACATGTTTGTGAATTGCTTGAATCCTTTGCCATTTTTGACCTAAGGTACATTTTTTAAAAGTTAAAAAGTGACTACTGCACTATTTTAAAAACGCTTTCACTGTCAGTGTTGCACTGCCTAAAAAGAACTGGAAACAACTTCCCATATCTCCCTCGGCTCCTTACAGATATAAATGAAGCTGCTATTGCAATCTAGACTAGGCCTAGCAATACATTATGCTATCACTTTCCTTCCCTTAGGTATATTCTTGTTTTCCACTTGAAAACATTAATTGGCTATATTTTCAATTTATGTAACCTGAAAATCATTTTCTTAGCCAGATTTTCAAATTATTTTAGCATAAAGTTACATATTGTATTCTCTAAGAAATTTTAATCTTGATCTGTAGATTTTTCCCAATTTCTGATGTTACAAATTAAAATTTTCCTTTCCTTAAACTTGCTAGAAGTTTGTCAATTTTTGTTACTCTTTTCAACAAATAATTGTTTTTCTGTTTTCTAATTTGTCACAGAAATCATAGTCTATTATTCTCTTTCAAATGCCTAAGTATGAATGCCAAATATGTTTTCTTTTTAGTCTGTGTCTGTATGTGTTGCAACTGGTGCAGCTTTGAGTAATGTGCTTATTCTGTGCTTCTCCACACACTTAAGTCTGACTGCTTCCCATATCTGGGCAGAAATGGTTCATCAAGGTGATTAATTGTCTACATCCTGCTGTCTTTACTTTCCTAGAATGCCTAGTGCAGCATCCATGGTTATGAAGCAGAGCCTCCTGGAAACTCTACTCTCATGGCTTTTCTCTGTTAAATCCCTCTCATTTTCTCCCTGCCTCTCTGACTGTTCTCTCTCAGCACTGCACTGGTAGCTTTTTCTCTTCTCTTGAAGGTTGGTGTTCCCTAGATTGTGGGTTCTGTTAGCGCCACTCATAAAGTATGACTCCTACAGCCCTCATCTAAGCCCATGGATTGAAATATCTCTTATATGTGAAATTCCAAATCCAAATAGATGGCTTCCAACTCCTGTTGGATATCCCACAGGTGCCTAAAGCTTTTGAATTGATGGATCTTTATCTCACACATTTTTCTCCCTTTCTGTAGTCTACATACTTGTGATTAGATGAGGAATTAGTCTATATTCCTCATTCTCCCTTCCCCACATTCATAGACACTATGTTTTGAAGAAATTATCTTCACCCCTCAAGAATTTGTCTCTAATTTATGGCTATTCCCAGATTCTCCATTTGATCCTGTATTTTCATTGAAATGACTTAAATATTCCCTAATTTCTGTCTCCAACTTGGCTTCCTTCTTATCTAACCAATACTAACCAAGTGATAGTTTTGACAGTGCCAGGGATTGAACTCAGGGACTTACACTTGCCTCACAAGTGCACTTAAGTCACTACTCCAGTCCTTAAATGATATCTTCATTTGCCTCTTTGCTGTGGTAGGCATGGAATCTAGGTCCTCATCTGTGTCAGGCAACATCTTAACCACTGAGTTATATTCCAGCTCCAGGAGATAGTTTTAATGAATGAAAAATCGATTTACTGGTGATTCATAGCATATGTTCTGGCATATTCTATTTGGCTTTTGTTTGTTTTTTCTGAGGATAACCTCTATTCATTGCCTTCTTCAACTTTCTAAATCCTGTATGTCCTTCAAAATTCAACTCTAGTACCTCACTCTCTGAAGATCATCCTCTCTGTAAAGGAACGTATGTAGATTGTTACATGTACCCCTCCTTTTGTGTTAACTTAGCACCACAGGCACATAACTTTCATAAAACATGTGATTCTAAAGTAATCAGTTATTTGGAAATTTTACCCTAAAGGAGAAGCAACCTGAGGCCAATAGATCTTCACACAGGGAAGGAAAAATGTGAGATACTCCAGCCCCATACCTTACTATCATTGCTTTTCCAAAAGAATGTGTGTCATGCATGAGGGTCAGGAAGTAGACCCCTGCTAAGGCTTCTCTGAGCTTAGGAAAGTTAAGATTGACCCAGTATATCAAACTGGATTGCTACTGACTATTCTCTACTGCACTACACTATTTTATATTATAAACCCTAATCCAAGCTGACCAGCCTATTAGATAGAATAAATAGTACAATATGGAAGCTAGTGTAGGAATTGTGATGCATCCTTGAAAACTTTTGAGTCCTCAGTACTGAAACAAATATGAAGAAGAATTTAATCATTATGAACCCATTTCTCAGGTCTGGTCATATAGCCTGCTGAACTTAAAATATTCGATATTATAGGATTCTTTCAGGGTTTTGTTGTTAGTTTATTTTTTTGTGGGGTATTTTTCCTTGAATCTTTGTTTTCATAAATGATTACAGTATATAATTCAAAGGAGCATAGATTTCTGAATGGTAAAGCTGCAACATCACAGTGTAAAAATACAAGCTGTTTGGAAAAGACATTTTTCAAAAGTTTTAGTTTTTCAATCTGTAGGTCATGTTAACTCCTACCTAAACACAAGTTTGCTTTAGTTACATATTTTGGTTACCCAAAATATGTAATATCCCCAATTATGACTCAGTTACATAAATCCGGGAAGATAGACTACAAACTTATGTCCAACAAGTTACTTCAACATGAAGTTTGTTACTCGTAACAGCTCAAAAAAAACCACTGTATAGAATGGGTAGCAAACCAAAAAAAATCAACTAATGTTAAAAGAACTTTGAAATGATATCTTTAAATGTAAATGATTTGCAATCATACAGTTTAGGAGCTACATTTTCAGACATACCTTGTCCATTAATTTAGTTGCATGAAGACTCAAGCTATTGAAGAATATTTTTTTGCTTAGCAGATGCATTTCTTCAATGGTAGTCAATAAAGTAGTTGTACTATTTCCAACGATGCCACTAGAAACAAAGAACATTTCAGGATGCAAAACAGAAGCTAATGCAATTCAGTTTTTTGAATACAAAGCTTTAAAAAGAGCTAGATTTAAGTAAAAGATTTTGTGTAGCACAGTTTGTGAATTAAAAACAAGTACTGTGGTTTCATATAAAAATAGTGTTCTTAAAAGTTAGGTGATAAAAAAAGAAAACTATAGGTTGAGTATCTTTATTTTGAAAATTCAAAATCTAAAATGCCCTAAAATCTGAAATTTTTTGGGCACTGATGTGACACTCAAAAAGTTTCATATTTCACAATAGTTTGGAATGCAGGTACTCAGATTAAGTATGCTCAACTGGTAAAGTCTATGTAAATATTCCAATCTCCAAAAAAACTCAGAAGCCTGAAACACTTTCTGGTCCCAAGCATTTTTTAAGGCATACTCAACCTGTACTAGGTTTCCAGTATTTCAGAGTCTCTTTTACCTAAACTGTGGGCTAGAACCAGCATCTGTATCTGTTTTTCCTACAGGACAGTAAATATGTATCATAATTATCCAAGAAGACTTAAATTTAATTTTAAGAAAGGCATTCCATCAATAGCTCTACTGATAAAGTAATTAAATTATGTTCATACTGCATTATAAAAGTGGTGAATCATACCAACAATAACTATTGATTACAAAGATTTTCAATTTTTATACAGTTGCTTAAATTACAGTACATTTAGACCAATTATGAAAAACTGGGTATTTAAAAATAATAAATTACATTGGTATTTTCTATTACAAGGATATTTCTTAGACCAATCCAAAGTTTTTCCTATTTTTGCCAGGGTCTAAGACAAAATTCCAATTTTATCTTCCTTACTCTTATACTGAAAGTGATTTTTTAAGTTTTTTTTTAGGAAAAAAGTTTTTTGTTGTGACATATAGTATAATCCAATAGGAAATCATAATTTCTAAAGGCACAATAATACATAAATATGATATTAGTAAATACTATAAAATGTAAGCTAAAAGCACAGTTAATTTTCTGATACATTATATTCCACATGTGACACTATGTATTTCGGTACCTTCTGAAGCTAAAATGAATGAGAAAAGTTCTCATGTGGTCATGCAAGCTGTGTTTTGCAGTTAATGTTCAGTGAGTTCTCACTAGGGACCAGCAGCTGGTCCAGATAACTTACAGATGCTCATTCTGATATTTCACTCCACATTTCTCTCCAGCACTTATTCTCCTATTGCTTTTTAATTTTTAGGTATTATATACAAGTTCCTTGATAGAGAAGAGGAGCGACACAGCTTTCCTCCTTTACCACCCTACCCAAATCTCACTTTCCCAGTATTCCTAATACCATGACGATCACAGTATTCTGATAAGTAAGCATTTAATGTCTACATTGTTAACAAGAGTTGATCAAGGAGTCAGGGACATCCAACATAAGGGATTAAGCAGGCTGGTGAAAGGATGAAACCCAGTATTACAAGCATGCAGAAGGCCTGGAGAACAATCCACCTAGACTGGAAGAGGACTCCTCTTGGAGAAGGAAGGGGAGAGAGATTACTTGTTGTATACTTGACTATATCATTAGGAAATGTTGAATCCACCTACTTTTTTGGATCTGAAATTGTAAGCCAGCACAAAAACAAAGCAATTAACTCCAGGGAGAAAAGTTTTGTGAAAATGGACATGCAATCCAAGTATGCTAGATTCCTTGCTTCCTAGATTCCATATCTTCCTCTTCTCAGGAATTCTAACATCTTGGAAATAAATTTATTAAACCTTGCATGTTTCCTGCTTTTCCTCTAATTTCAGTGGCTATCCTTTGCTAATTTTCTTTTTGAGTTTCTTCCATTCTTAACCTTTTGATGTTCGAGTGCCTAGGGCTTAGTTCTAGGCCCTATTCTGTATCTACACTTACTCCTTCACTCCTTTAATGATCTTACCTATCCTTGTGATTGGAAATATCACCTCCACCTCTCTGCTGAAAATTACCAAATTTAGTGTCAGCGCTGATTTCTCTTTGCATCATTTTACTATGTTGCTTAGTTCTGTTTGAAAAATCTGTAAGTAAAACTCATTTCTTAGACTTGACGTAAGAGGTAGGCAGCATCATTATTGTAGACTTTTCATGCTCTGTGAAGTTGTAACTCCTGAAACTCTCCTGAATCAGTTAGTAAAAACCCTCTTGGATTTTAATTGTTGGACTTCTGTTCTTGATACTGTCATACTGGATAACAGTTGTTTTTAAATAATTAATTGAAAAATACGGGAACTATCAAAAATACAGCTTACAAGAACACTGTTTTAACATAACTCCACATATGTGAACTTTATAAAGTGACATTTATAAAAATCTCAAGTGTGTACCACCAATAGATATATGCAAGGCAAAAGTGAATGCAAATACTGGAATTGAAAATCACATTTTAGATAAGACACATAGGTTCTAATCAGATAGAGCTGCTTTTGTGTAGAGAAGACAAGGCTATGGTTCCATTTTATCACTGTTATTTAGACAACTAAACACAAAAGAAGAATTTAAGTTTTTTACATCCAGAATAGGGTACTTCACTCATTATTCCCTATTGTATAATAAACAGTTGCTTTAGTTGCCATGGATCTTGTTTACTAATGCAGGAAGATTCAGTAAATGTTATTGACCTATATTGTTATATAAAAGTATGTGTGTGTGTGTGTGTGTGTGGTGTGTAAGACAGGGAAAAGGAAATGACAGACTTCAAGGTATAACAGGCATGACATACGCATAAGACAGTGGAGAGTCTCTGACGGTTACTTAGTAATACATGTAGTAAAAACAGCACTGCTGTAATGGAAAAGATTACAGATGGGATTTAACAAGCCCATTTATTATTCCACTTACCTGATTGTATGGTGGTAAAATTTTAGGAGATTAGAAATTTTATATAATAAAACTGCCCCAGGTTCAGCAAGTATTACTTGTTCAATTCGAACCTATGCGAGAAAAAAATTAAGCATTTCTTAAAAGCACACATTTTCTTTATTAATGATGTGGTATGAATAGCAAAAAACGATTAAAGGTAAAATTTAATTATGGCTGCAACAACAAAATGCCTTCTAAAGAATTTCTTTGTATTAAATAAAAGGGGATGAAAAGTATTTTAACACAGATAAACTTTTCAAAAAACAGTCTGTTATCTGCAAAGCATGGCTCAAAGCAGGCATTATCAGAAACACCAGTTCAGTGGGATCATTTTGAGTTTTACCACTAGTATAAAAATGAACTTAGTTTAATACTAAATCACAAAAGCAGATGCTATCTTCCTAAAGACAGATCATCACAGAACATATACTTCTCAGCCAACAAATATTTGGAAAAAATGAAAGAATTCTTGTGTTTAAGCTATTATGCCAAGTTTGTTCCATTAACCAGAGAATAGACAGGAAAGCAGACAAACTGCATATTAGCACCAACCTATCTGCCACACAGTGAGACTACAGAGCAAAACCAAGATCTGGCTTGAGATTAACTTGATTTACCTCAAAATTAGCTACCAGGAACCTATTTGAATTAAACTGCATTCTTCTCTGATCTCTCTTTTACTTTGTATTCCCTCATTAATAAATACACCACATGATACTGATACATGCTTAGTTACATGTTGTATTGTACCTGGGCTTAAGCTACTATTTACAATGCATATTCTCGTTTTCCTACCAAGCTTCTAAACACAAATAGAGCGACAGTGTTTTCTGATTCATTTACATCTCTGTAGCATCTGGTATAATAATGCATACACACCAGATGTTTAATAAATCCTTTGAAAGCCAGAGTTTCTCTACACTTGGATTTTGGCATACATTATAATGCCAACAAATATGATTTGATAAAATTATATTTTATAAATATATGTATAACAGCATTCAAAAACCACTTGAATTACAGAAATTAATTGATCTTTACATTAATATGTTTATGAAACTAATTCATCTTTTGGCATAAGGCAACAGACTAGCGAACCATAATACTGTAGATCATGAATGGCATTTGAATTTAAAAATCTTAATTTCCATATGATAATTTCTTTTAGGCCAAGACCTCACAGTAATTTAAATTATATATTAATAAAGTGATGTTTGCCAAATTAGGTATTAGAATGAAATATAAAGGATTCTAATTGTAGGCAGATAGTTTTCCCTAGCAGATTTCTAACACCGACTCAGTTTTCTGGAAATGTGCCTTGTAGAATTTAGAGAAATTAAGACATTCTATGTGTTCTAACTCTCTTAAGAAAGAGAGTAAGAAGAAAAGGAAAAGAGGAAGTGGACGAAGGACAAAAAACTAAGGCCCATCTGTCTTCACACCCTAGAGGTCTTGAGGGAAGGGGCACCTGTAGGCTACAGCAGGGACAACAGCACAGAAAAACTGAAAAGAAAAAGATACACCCAGGCTGGTTTGTTTTCTACACAGAAAGAAACACTGTCTACAGAAGAGAACAACTACTCAGCAAGGGCCAACAGACTGGGGGAAAACTAAAAGAGATAATAGAAACAAAAATAAAAATGTAAAAGAGACTGAAGAAGTAGCAGCTGCAGCAATTGACTGGAAATTAGAATGATGATGACACAGTGACAAAAATCCTCAGGAGAACTTGAAAATAAGCAGAAAGTGCATGGAGCAGCTCTGGAGCATTAAGAAGCACTGAGTAAATCCTAACTGCACTATTAGAAGAGCAAGAAAGACACAGGCGTATATTTAAAGTAGCAGAATGGGCTGTAGGCAGTGCAGTGGCAGAAAAACTCGATGTAAAAAAACAAACAAAACCAACAGTAACTGTCCTCTTTGATGCCAGAGAGAGTCAAAGCAAAGGCAGGAATGGGAGGGCAAGACAGAGAGATTCAGTGACTTGGGGGACAAGAGGAGAAGGGACACCTAAAAGGGATACGGACAAGCCTCCCTTACCTTCACCTCAAGATAGCTACTCAGGGTAGGCATATGTTCCCAAAGCTACCTCAGCATCTGAGGCACAATGACTTTATCATGTGGTACAGTATCTAGCTGTATTTCCTGTGCCACTTGTCTTTATATAGACACTTATTTTCACAGAATCCACCATGATTTAAGAAGGTCAGGAGATAATACATTAAGTTTTTACAAGAAGTAAAATCCAAATGATGGCTTCAGTAATCTAGAACATTCATATAAAGGAAAGATCATTTTATACGTGACCTTAAAAAACAAAGATTTGAATGTATTCATTTGATGCTTCTAGCTACAGCTTTGGGGTAAATATGCCTGCAATGTAAGATTTGACACTGGTGAGCCATAGTACCCTATACACAATATATGTAGTTTTCAAAATGAGTGCAGTTTTTTAAAATTCAAAATAAGCTTAGAGATCATATCTTAATGCACATGTTTACAAATAGCCTACCACCTATGCAGTTTCACTTTGCTAGGATAAAGAATTTTCAGTGAGACAGTTCAGGAAAAATCTTACTATTTTATTTTACAATTATAATTCTAAATTTTTTCTCAGTGATCTGCTTTTATACCTCCAAATTGATAAGCAGATAAATTTTTCCTAATAACATATATTAGATGTCAGAAAAATGCAGAAAAAGAAATCTGTCTCTCTGTTTTTTCTTTATTCTTTTAGTTTTGAAGACAGTATCTCACTTATTGTCCAGGCTGGTCTTAAATTCACCATCCTCCTGCCTCAGCCAACCAAGTGCTGAGATTACAGGTGTGCACCACCACAACTGGCAAGAAATATTATGATATTATTTTTTATCCTCCCTTTTCTTCTTTTGTCTTTCTAGTAATTGCTAATATACAAAACAAACAACATTTACCTGAGCTATAAATGTCTAAAAATCAAACTAAATACTTCATTTTGGAGAAATACATAAAGTAATTTAAAACTACATTGCTATTTGTGTCCTGAATACACAGTGGATCCAAAGATGATCAAATTTATGATAATATCTAAATCTGTAAACATAATCAATTTCCACAAGACATGTCATTTGAAATTTGCTTGTAAGGGCTAAAATACTGAAGAAAATCTTAGAAATGAAAGAAATTAGTTTTAAAAATTAGCTCATGATAAAAATAAATCATAAGATATAATTTCTATACACTAAACTGAAGTCAGTTGACAAGGAAAAATAAACCAACAATTGCCAGTATTCCATAACTACTAATAAATGAAAAAGAAAATCTGTTGCAGACATAAGTACTGGAGACTATGCGCTTCATCTACACAGTTTTCTCATTAATCCTCACACAACCCTCAACAGGAGATGTTCTTAAATGCAGGTCCAATGTAAGCATGATACAGTGTGGAAAAGGTAAGCAAATGGAACAAGTGAAGACAATCAAATGGCAGAATGGGAATTCTAAGCTCATTGATTCAAAATGTACTATAAATAGAATTGAGAATAATACTAACACATAAGATTTTATCCTGATTAATCACTATTTATGATTTAGATAAACAAAAAGATGTATACTTTCTTAGGAAATCTCAGATAAGAAGTCATTCATTAGTTGTTTCAATTTTTATTAAACTGAAAAAGTTTAATACATTAAGTTTTTACAAGAAGTAAAATCCAAATGATGGCTTCAGTAATCTAGAACATTCATATAAAGGAAAGATCATTTTATACGTGACCTTAAAAAACAAAGATTTGAATGTATTCATTTGATGCTTCTAGCTACAGCTTTGGGGTAAATATGCCTGCAATGTAAGATTTGACACTGGTGAGCCATAGTACCCTATGCACAATATATGTAGTTTTCTCAACTGATTAACATTAATCATTACAGGAAACAGAATCTCTAAAAGTAGAGTCAATGCATGTAACATACTGGAAACAGGACTATTTCCAATTTTCTTTCTTACAAACTGGCAATGATTTTATTTAAATATATTGTATTATCCTAGTTAATATGTTAATTTGACAAAATTCCAGCTTGAGTTCAAGTCATTATATTTCTTTAAACTCACAAGAATAGGTTAATACTTTCAGCAGATACTTTATGACACATAGTTCCAAAATACTTTACCTTTAAAGGTCTGCACACACCTTCAGTGATATGTCCAACAACTTCCTGAATAATTTCTTCAACACCTAAAATTAATTACTACATAAATTTTTTTCATATTATACTTTGCTTCATATAAATTTAAAAACAGGCAAAAATACCTGTGATTAATGGCATTAATAACATTTAAAATAAGTGTAACAGTATGTTGCTAAGTTTGCTATATTTTAGGACATTACTAATTGTGTTAATAATTAATGTGTATCTAGAATGTTTTGTTCATTCATTTGACTGTTGAATCAACAAAATGAACATTCTTTGTGAAAAAGAATAAGTACAGGAGACAGAGGAAAGATTGAAATAAGATGTTTTAGGATTTGTTTACAAATACCTTATTCGAGGCATAGTACAGATAATGGCTAACAGTAGAAGGATGAAAAACAGATCATTCAATCTTATGGAAAAGCTGACACTTCCTAAATATTGATTATTTATCAAACACTGTACTGGGTACTTGACATTTACTGCTTGAAACACTTTCATTTTTATAGATGGAGAAACTGAGGCTCAGAATTTCATCTAACTCCAAACTATTTTTTACCCACCTCACAACCCTGCCTCATAAGAAACATCTTTAAAACACCTTTGAAGAAATATATTATTTTAAACTAGATAATTAGGATTATAACAGAAAAAAAACTTTTAAAATGCAGACTTTGTGCCTATGTAAGATACATGCTAAGTCTAATCTCAATATCAAAGAGTTGAAATCAATGAGGTTAGGTATTATCACAAATTTGCACACGGTCTCTCTCACAGAGCATGTGGTAAGGCACAGTGATGTGTGCCTGAGCAGCACAAAACAGCCCACTGATACCAGGTACAACATTTCTCTTCACTTCCTATCAGAAACAGAACAGCTTTTAATCACACACTAGACCCTCAAACTCTAAAACAGGCCTCTTAAGGCAGGCGCAACTAAGAAGATTTGAAATTCTATAGACAAGACAACACTGGCCTCAAATGTAGTCATTGTTCTTCCTCAAAACCAAAACAAACATCTGAAGTACACGTAGTAATTATTTTTTAAAAAAACTTTAGAACAGTTTCATGAGAATGCAAAGAGGGTGGGTAGTAGAAATAAAAGAATTAGAAGCTTAATGACAGTAAGCAAATCACTCAGCCTATTCACTCACAGATAAATGAAGATAATACCAATTTTAAAGTGTAGTGCTGAGAATCTGAGATAATGTATGTGAGACACTCCAGAAATGTCTTACAAGTGAAGCAGGAATGTAGGCTTCACACGGAAGACAATTGGTCCACTATAAAACTGAACAGTTGAGTGACAGGATGCCCACGATGGAGAAGAAAGTCTGTTAGCAGAATACAGGGGAGTCCAGAGAGCAAAATGAATTAGGGTGTTTATTGCATTGTCTAGGTATAAAGTGTTTATCTCCATGAAAAAGATGGCAACAAGAAGAGAAACAGAGAAGACTGTTATTTCCTCAACTTATGTATTAACATTAGCACATCAGTGTGCCTACCTTGTGTAGTGACTTGCTTTAAGAGAGCCTCTAGGTGTTCCTTTTCAGAAGCAGTAGCTTGATGGAGCCATGCCAACATATCTCCCACATACCTAGTGAAAACTACATGTAAGTAAAGATGTCCTTGTAAAAATATGAAATCCTCTACTGGTGTCTGATTACTATACCTCAAAGGGTCATGGGAGTGCATTTCAATGGGTCTAGGTGTACCTCCTGGGCCTCCTCTTGTAAGAGCATCAATAAATCCACGAACAACAGTACTTCGTCTGGCTGTTCCAAATTCATCTAAAGTATACCTAGAAAGAAATACATTGTATGAAAAACCATTGCTTTTGTTTCTTAATGGTTTTATCAGACTATTCATGTAAGATCTAAGGTAAGCAAATTATCTAAAGCTTCTTTAGTACTCTTAAGCAATATTGCTTCTAAGTTAAAAAAAAAATTATCAGATAGCTTTAGGTTGCTGAATGTTTAATTGATCCCAGCACTTGGGAAATGGAGCAGGAAGACCAGCCTGGGTTACACAGAAAGAGCCTGTCTTGCAAAAGAAGAAAAAGAAAAAGAGGAAGAGGAAGAGGAAGAAGAAGAAAGAAGAAAAAGAAAAAGAAGGAGAAAGACAGGAGGAGGAGGAGAAGCAGCAGCAATTTTTTTGCTCCTCAGAACTAAGAATGCTTGGGACTAAAAGAGCAGAAGCAGCAGTAGTAAGGAACAGAGCAGTGGCTTAGTAAGACAAGCAAGCCAGCATGGGAAGTCTGAACTCTTTAGTATCCTTTGCAGTCTAAAACATAAACATATATACTTAGTCCTCAGAAGCTGGTTAGAACTCTACAATCCAAAAATTAAGACTTTTTCTTCTACATTTAAAAACTCTCCTTACAATACTATTACAACCTACCACCAAAATATGCCTCCCAAATTGCTGTCCATTTTTAAAACCTTATTTTGACTCCAATATGAGATGTATCATATGTTCCATAAATCTACTCACAAACCACTCATCACAGCAAATACCCTTTTAACATATAAGTAGAAGTCATCTACTGTCATTGAAAATGGGGGGGAGTCTTTCTCTGGTGAAGGAACTGGTAGGGAACGAAAACTTTGCGCTGGTGACACAGCAATTTATGAGGCTGGTCAGGAGGTGCTGAGAGTCTTTGACAAGACTCAGCTCTTGATTCCCATTACCACTGGCATTCATTACACCTACCCTAACTAAAAGTTCCTTCTATTTTAGCAATCTAAAGTCAGCAGCTGCTATGCCCACAAATTTTTTAATTTGTGGTATTTAGTATTCTACCATACTAAATGTTAACAATTATTTCACTAACCACTATATAAACAAAAGTTAGCAAAATTTCCCAAAGACTGCCAGAATTCACTTCTTACACTGTATTGCTTTAATATATTGCTAATTCAGTGAAAATCCATACTTTGTTAAATAAGACAGTTATTTCTAACTAAAGGGAAAGTATGTGAAATGGCAAATAACTAGAATTTTAAGGAATCTGAATCTTTTTGATAATGCTCACTACTAGTAGACTGTGGTTCTTTGTGTGTTTGCTTTCAGTTAAAAGGAAATAGTTTTGAAATTCTCTGCAGTGACTTAATAGTACAGGCACAGCAAAATGAATATGAAGCAAAGTTTTGCTAAACTACATTACTGTCCCATAATTACTTTCTGTTTTTTAAACAAATTGGAGCCAAAATGTACACCTCTGATTTTTTCCTCATGCTCTTCAATTATGCATGTCTAATGTGAACAAAACCCTTTCATAGAATCATGTGAAATAATGAACTTGTGGTCAGATGACTACTTATCAGAGCAACAAATTCATAAGGTTTTAACTTTTTAAATATACAAAGCTAATCTTTCCAAAGATCCTACTGGACACAGGAAACAGAGGCAATATAACTTCTGTTTCTAGGACTGCACACAGGGCCAGAGTTGTATCAGAAGCAAGTGATTGCACTAGTACTTCAATGGGGCAATTATAAAGCCAAGTAAACACTGGGACTTAATCTGCACAATATATTAATAGACGTTAATGTTAATATTGATCCTTCTGCAAAACAAATATAATTTCAGCAAAAGCAGCATAAGCCATGAAGAACATCCAATGATATCTTCAATGAAACAACCTGCTAAGAGACAGAAGAAAACTTCTCTCACCAAATTAAACTCTCTGCCAACAAAGGCCAAAATTTTAAAATACAGTTTATATAAGTGAGCATTCAAATCGGATAAGCAACCTAAAATGCCCCCAGTTAAAATTAAAAGTCCCATTTTTATAATATTTATCTGCATTAAATAAAAGAAAAATCTGGTCAAAAGGAAATTAAAATTTTGATCAAAAAACAAATTAAAAGATAAAGATAGTATGCAATCACCTGTTTCGAATGCAACATAAGTACATAAAGAATGAAGAAAAATTAGCATTGTACAAATTACTACATTCTGAAATATCTTATGTTCTGAAGGTTTACAAGGAAAGGAAGAAACCATTGTTTCCATATACAATAGTTTTCTGAAATAAATTTCTGTACTTGGTTTATTAGTGTAATACATTACCATTACAGTTATATATACCTAAGAAACAATGAATTAGGCATCTTTCTCTAAGAACTTTAATAACTGGCTTTTTTTCTTGTACATGATACCTACACATTTGAGACATCATAATGAGTATAAGTGGTCACACATTACTCAAAGTCCATATGGTGCCATCTGGTGGTTAATAATAAACATTAAGTTTTTCCTAAACTTTTTACCACTTAGAAAATAGATTACTTAAGAAAATGCACATTTCTCTTTTTTTTTTTAAGCATTTCATATCCTAATCAATTTGTTCTAAAAACTCACTTTCCCATTCAACTTCCAAACATGTCTGAAAATCTCACAAACTGCTGTATTGCCCCTATTTTCTGGCAATGTCCCTTTAAGAGAAACACTCTTGGCTTTTTATTCTTTATCTTTCAAGATATTCCCATATTGTCAGTTAGCCTTAAATATATCTCTAGAATCATTACTTACAATGAGATACTATATCAACCCAGTTAGAATGGCTATTATCAAAAAAACAAAAAATAAAAAATGCTGGTAAGGATGTGGGGAAAATGGAGCTCTTGCACAATATTAGTGGGGATATAAGTTAGTGTAATCACTATAGAAAACAATAAGGAGGTTCTTCAAAAACCTAAAAATAGAACTACTACATAATCCAGCAATCCCACTCCTGGGTACATATCCAAAGAAAATGAAGTCAGCATGCAAAAAAGTCATCATGCCAATGTTGATTGCACCATTACTCAAGATTGCTGATATACGGAATCAGTCTAGGTGCCCATCAACAGATGAATGAGTGAAGAGAATATGGCAGATATCCATGACAGAGTATTATTCAGCCTTAAAGAATAAAATCTTGTCATTTACAGCAAAATGGATAGAACTGTAGGACATCGTTTTAAACAAAGTAAGTCAGACACAGACAGACAAGTAATGTTCTCTCTCATGTCTGAAAACTAAAATAAAAAAAAGCTGACCTGAAGCAGAATAATGACTACAAGGAACAGGAAAGGGGCTTGGGGTGGGGAGGGATTAGATGGATGGATATGGATATGAAGAAACATCAAGTGAATCTCATTAATATGTATAGTTAATATGTACTAGCAAAAAACTGACATAATTTTTAATTTTATAATTAATTTTATAATGTGTTAGTAAAATAACAAAGTAACAATATAAAAATCATAATTTAGTAAAAATTGATTTGCACAGAAGTCAGCTATCCTATTCAGAAGCTCAAAACACACAAAGACATTTCTAAAAAGATAAATAACATTACAAACAAATATAAATATGTAGACAATGTAACATCTGATTAATACCAAACACCAAATGTTTTAAGTACCAAAAGAGTATCATAATCAATGCCAATAACTTAAAGTGAAAACCCTGGCAAAGAAATTTCAAGGTAGACAGCTAAGCTGCTGATTAATCATGGTCTTTTGCTTGTCACCTGCACATGTATAACTCAGGACCATTAGGCCTCCTTGCTACCAGCTCAATAGACAGTTCAAGCTTTTGCCATGTACTTTCCAAAGGTGCATGGTCTCTCTCAATCCACATCTTTGTACCTGCTATGCCCTCAACATGGAATGTTCTGTCCTTTTTCTCCCTCAAAGAAAATGCTTATTCACCCTCAGAGCTCACTTTGTATTTATTTCCTTTAGGAAATGTCCCCTCATATCCATCTCCTTCTTTGACCAAGAATACTTGGACCACACAGCACCTGAAACATTCCCTTTAGACTACCAATTAACACATTCTATTAAAACCCATTTGCTTTTGTCTGGTTCTATAAAATAAAGCAATTTGAGGGCAATGTTTTACTGATGCTGTATTTCTAATATTTTGAACAGTGATTAACATCTAGTAAGTACTAAGCAAGCAGCACTGGAGCATTGTTGCTTTACACAGCTGTTGTAGCGTTTGTGGGATTTGACTTCACAGCCTGGTATTTGCTAGGACAGGTGCTCTAACACCTGTACCTCAAGTACAGGTGTTACATCCCATCCCTGTATTCTGTAACATTGTTACAGGATAATCAATGTTGCAGTTAGAAAGTAAAGGGGGAATCCTCTAAAAATAGCATAAGAACCTCTGCAAAGGATGATTGTGGTGATTCAGTGGCTCTGTAAGAGTCCTCTTTCTATCTCCTGAATTATCAACATCCCTTTGATCTCCTTAAAGCTTATTTTCATACCAACAGACAATTTTAAAAAGTACTTACTTTTTGTTTTATGAGAAATAAAAGAGTAAAATTAAAATACAGCATATTTTAAAACACAAAGGTTTCTTATCCAAAGCTTGACCATGAATCTCTTGGTTGGTATAACTTACAAGATCACAGACCTGGCCCTGCCTATCTTTTGTTGAATCGTAGTGATAGTACCCTGATATTTAAATATTCTTTTCTTCATCTCTAGGTAATTATACTTCAAAGTCCCTACATGACTGTCTTCTTTCCAGGTGGGGTCGATGGAGGAATTTTAATAACTTAAAATTCCAAGGTAGCTAATGAGATGACAACTGGTTAAGCCACTTGGCCTCCATGTAAGTAGGTGGTACTCTAATTACAGAGACACCTTGATGTTCTCCTCCATAATGTTCTATAGCATATAATATTCAAATAAGCTGACATTATAAAGATAAATGCAACTAGGTAAAAATATCACTGTAAACTACAATTACTCAAACTACTGTATATGAATTTGATGATACAAAAAACTAACGTAAATTATCAATGGAAAAGTAAGATTTCTTACTTATATAAAACAGGTCTATCCTGTAGGGCTTCCATGGCCTGAGTTAGTACTGGAGACACATCACATGACTCTTGTGTCAATGTTCTGCATTCACCTGGAAAATAACATTACAACTTTTATTAAATTAAAATTAGTTCTTTTTTATGTCCATTGTATTGCAGGAGTCTAAATTCGACAGCAAATGTTGCCATTAAAAAGTGCTTGGAAAAACATGGAGAAAAATACCAATTAAAACTTAACTTATTTTGTTAACAAAATTAAAAAAAAAAAAAATCAATCTTATATACTTACATAACTTTACATGACCACACATGCTATCAGCTGTACTCCAAATCTGTACTTCATTATTACAAATGACTTGCAGTTGTGAAGAAATCAGTCAATGAAAAATACTTGCTGAATTCCTGCTATTCCAATTGTATCATAAGGACAGAGGGAAAGAATACCATTTCCTTTCCTCAGAAGCAATCTCCAATGGTCTGTTTATATGGATAACTGATATGAGGTAACATTATATTAGTTTGGATTTTATGCAACTTGTTTTCCAGGGCTTTGCACACACTAGGCAAGTACTCCACAACTGAGGTATGCTCCGGCCCCAATAGTTTGGATTTTAAACTCTGTACACTAACATTTTTCTCATTTTATTATTTGATTTTATCCATTAACTGCGTACAAGTTCCTACAATGTTCAAAGACCTGAGGACATGTTCAGAAATTCCCTCTTTTAGTGTTTGAGGACACATGCTAGCAGTTTACTCCCTAGCATGCACTGCCAGAGGAAAGCATATGCAAGGATGATGGAATTGCAGGTATCTTAAAACCTCTCCACAGACCCTAGGAGTCAGAGGCCCAAGGTTGGGAACCACTATCTTAGATGTTATGGGAGCACAAGAAGTCTAAAGGAATGACTTTGAGGAAGTGAAATTTCAGCTAAAAAGAAAACATCTACATATGGAAAGTTGCATAGTAATAGAGTCACGTACTACTGGATGCTAAGTAAATCTTTCCAGTGCTTAGCGTTCAGAGGTGGGAAGTTGGTGTGCTTCCAGGTGGTCTCCAAGTTCCAGGAAGACACTCACTGCCTTGAGACAGAACTCAGATAAAAAGAGAAGTCTCACAACACTCCAGATGGGAGCAAGCAGTGTAAACAAAAGAGGAAAGGCTGGGTGCACAGCTCAAGGAGTAAAGCACTTGCCTAAGAAGCATGGGGCCCTGAGTTCAAATTCCAGTAACACACACACACACACAAAGTAGGTTTTAGAGATAGAGTGTAAATCATCCACAGTTTTCACAGTATAGGGTAGTACAAGTGTATCTGGCTAACTGGATTTAACTCTATACTTTCCAACAGTCAGTTGGTGACACCTACTGAAATATCACTTTCCACTCTTGCTCATTTTAACTATCCTCTCTGGCTTTACAGAGCTATTTCATCACAATGTTTAACTAACACAATTTAACACAAAAGCAAATAAAGCATTTGTGGTTGACAAAATAATGGTCTCCAAAGTTACCCACACATAAATCCCTGCTAATATGTTTTTTTACATGACACAAAGAACTTTGCAGATAGAATCAAAGTGACAGACCCTGAAGTGGGAAGATTTTCTTAGATTATCCAGGTGTATCTAAGATAATCACATGGCCATAAAATTGAAGAGGATGGCAGCCACATTAGTCAGAGATAGGAAATGGGAGAAGAGGCAAGAGTGAATATGGAAGAAGGTATCATAAGACAAAGAATGGAGGCAACCTTTAGAAACTGGGAAAAAACCTTAGTGACAGTCAGCAAGCCAACTCAGACCTCAGGCCTACAAACACAAGTAGCTAAATTCTGTCAACAAACTGAATGAGTGAGACAGAACCAAGAGTAGCCCTACCAACAATGATTTTAGAATGGTGAGAACAATGTCTGATTTCTGGCCTACACAACTTAAGATAACAAACCTGAGTTGTTTTAAGCAAGTTTGTTGCAATTTGTTATAGTGGAAACAAAATATAACTTTGTAGTTATGTAAAACACAAAAGATGCCTAATCAACTACTCTAATAATCTAGGGCAGAAACATTGTCTTCATTTTTTTCTTCTCATCCTTCATCAAGCACACTGCTTGGTAGATAGTAGATGCTCATGATTAAAACACAAAGGCAACAGGTTCACATGCAAACTTTGCTTTTCTTTTATTTGTTTATTTATTCATTCATTCATTCATTCATTCATTCATTTTGTGGTGCTGGGGCTTGAACTCGGGACCTTCACCTTGAGCCACTCCACCAGCCCTGTTTTGGTGATGAGTATTTTTAAGATAGGGTCTCGCAAACTATTTGCCCAGGCTGGCTTTGAACTGCAATCTTCCAGATCTCTGCCACTAGTGCCCGGCTAGCTTTTCTTTTAATAAATGCTTTTGATTTCTAAAACCAAAGTGGAGGCCAAGTAAAATTTTAAAAACTAAGTATCAATGAATTCACAAAGGTGGAAAACATGAAAGAAATCACTTACTTTGAGCCCATCGGTAAAGTCTTTCATAAGCCGTTTCCTGAAGCAAGGCCATCTGTTCCATAATTTCCAAACTAAAAAAATAAATAAATAAAATAAAGATTTATCACAATTTAAACTTTTTAGTTAATATATATAAAATCACTTAATTATTTTTATTTAATTACATAATGATTGGCTACACTGTATTAATTTTTTAACATTTTATGAAATGATTTTTCAGTAATTTTGGTACTGGATTTGCCCCCAATGATTGCACATGCTCGGTCTTTTTTTTTCAATTAAATAAATGTCAAACTTTAATTTCATCACTTGTCAACTGTTATTTCAGTCTAAGCATACCAGAGTACACATCCCCCTTTTCCAAGGATAAATAAAGATTATACCCCTATTTTACAGAACACCATCTAGTTTCAAAAAGAATCGAAGATATCTTTCAAATTTTGGAAATGTAAGCAGCAGTATAATCTGGTCAATGAAAGGTTACTCACCCCGCTGTTTGTTGGTTTGTACGCAACAGAACTCTGACATCATTATGAATCTGTTTCACTCTTCCCAGCGCCTTGAAAAAATCCTTTAAAATTAAGAATGTGACTTAAAAATGGCTATATTTTTAGGCAAAGACACTTTAAATTAAAAGATCACCACAGGGCAAACAAATTTTCACCTATTCTATATAATGGTGTTTTCCTTCATTACTAGTACAAAGCTGACACCGATATCCACTCACCTCAAATTTTCAAAGATATAGATACTTTGTCACATTTTAAGACATGTATTAATTCAAAGCTTATTATGTGCCAAATAATGTGCTAGTTGCCAGAAGTAACAAATTTATAAAGACAAAAATCCTTACCTTCAAGAATCATATAGCAAACCTAAAGATTACTACATAAAGAAAAATAAACTATACATTGATTATGACTTAAGCACAACTCTCATCATAAAAATGTTCATTAAAATACAGAGGAGTTGACTCAACAAGGATTTTTTTCCTTTAAATGTATTGGAGTTTTAATTTCCAGAAGGATATACACAGTGTACCACTAAGGGACACTGAGTAACAGAACCCTTCTTGCCCTCTCATTACAGAATAATGATGAGAGAACTAAGTTTATAGCTCCTCCCAGTTAGGAGACTGAAAGACTGCTTGTGGACAAATTGCATGTCTTCAACAAAAAAGGGGAAAAAAAAAAACCAGAAAGCAAGAGATGAAACTTCTTGTCAATTAGCATTTTGAGACATTTAATAATTCTTCAGTCAGTTTACAAAGGACGGCATAGGTTAAAAATTTATTAGATGAAAAGATAAGCAATTTCCAACTCCAGAAACACAAAAAGATCATAAAAGAAAGAAAACATAATCATTGTAATATCACTGTAATGAAAACAAAAAAATGTGATTGTACTGTGAAGTGTGAAGGGATAAAGAGAACATATATGTGTACTGCTTGTATTCGGAGAGGGTGCAGAGAATGTAAAAGGCTAAATCTTCATTTTTCATGACAATAAATAAATAGTTCACATAGATAACTAAACCACATTCTTTTTACCTATAGATCTAAAATGCAGAATTTACAAAAGAAGCAATTAACAATGTTGTAGCTGGTAGATAAAGGACTTAGAGGTAGAAAGGATGATGCAGGTTTTCTTCATGAGCTGTGTTATAACATAATACATATGTAACTGAAAAAGTAAAAGAAATTTAAATATGCACCTTAATTTCCAAATTTACAAACATTTTCAGAACAAACTATTTTTTCAGATGGGAAACAAACTTATTTTCAGAACAAACTTTTTCAGATGGAAAAGTAAAGTTTTAAAAAAGCACTTTCTCTTTAACATTGCTCTACTTTCAGTGATTCTAACAGAAAGTATTCTAACAGGAAGTATTACCTATTACCTCAGTAATAGGGCCTTCTCTTGTACCTCGGAGAAGACTCATTTCATCAGAAGTCAGTTGGAACTTAGATAAGAAGGCATCTGCAACTTGTGCTCTGATTTCTAATCTTTGACTACAATAAAAAAAAACAAACAAGAAAAAGCAAGTAGACACAAATTACAACTCTGACATAAAACTTTTTAAAACCAACATGTGAAAGATGCTCAAAATCGCTGAAAGCCTTATTTCTGCCTCAGATGTTGGAACCTCATCAGTCATGTTCACAGCAAAATTATCATAAGCTTATCAAGCACATAGGTAATAAAATTAGCCGATACTGTTCTTCCTCAGATAGTTGCACAGAATAAAAGGAGCTGGTCCTTATATAAGAGAAGAAATGAATTTACAAATGGTGCCTGCATTGCAAATCTTCAGTCACTTAACAAATACTGGAATAATTTACCTTATAATCAAACAAAGTTATTTTTCAGGAAAGAAATATCCTCCTGTTTTCAACCAATTTATTCCCAGTCAGTAAAATATCCTAAGCCTTTTAAGTTTTCACTTGAAGTCCACAAAAACCAAAAATTTGAGTCTGTTAGTTTTTTATTTTAGGTTACAAAGAGAAGTCAAGAAATCCTTGTGTGGTGGAACACAAGGTGGAATACACCTGCAACCCCAGAACTTGGGAGGTTGAGGCGGGAGGACACACAGTGAGACCCTGTACAAGGAAAGGGAGAGAGACAGAGAGAGAGAGAGAGAGAGAGAGAGAGACTGAGACAGAGATACAGAGAGAGAGAAGAGAGAGAGACAGAGATCGAGAAGCTCTAAAGATATACACATAAAATTCTAAAAGTATTTCAACAGTAGTATTCACAAAGCAGTAGTATTCCATAACCAAAAAAAAAATTCAAATGAGAATTAACAAAGACAAATATTAACAACATTTGTATACATGACATAACACCATCTGCCCTGTTTTATTTGTAGGTTTGGGTTGGCAGGTTTTAAATTCAAATGCTCCTGATGAATACTATAGAAACTTACAAAGGAAAATCTGTCCAGGTATTTACTTCAAATGATAAAGTAAATCACCTAATTTAGTCTACATGGAGTTAAAGGCCAAGTTCTTAATTGTCCTATTGCTACCATCTAAAGGTCATCTTAACATGTTTTGTCTTATACTCTTATTTAAAGTTCCAATCATACAGGATTTAAAGTAATTATAAAACTTGGTACCTAAACAATAAAACAGGTCATGCTAAGGGGAGGGCACAATGGAAGATGGAGGGTAAAGGAAGAAAGTAAAGAGGGTGAATATGATTGATGTATTTTCTATACAAGTATGAATATGGAATGCTGAAATTTGTTGAAGCTACCATAAGAAGAGGAACAGGACAGGAGGTACAATAATGAAGGGAATGAACTAATTCGGGGTAATATGGAAATGTCACAATGAAACCCCCTGTATAAGTATCAGAAACTAACAAAAATGTCTTTTTTAAAAACTGAAGGACAGGAAAGTAAACAGGTCCTGTCCAGGGATGGGTACCTGTGGGAGAGGGGGACGGGCACAGGAGAGGATGAATAAGGTGAAAGTATTTTGTATTCATGAATGAAAATAGAATAATAAAACCTGTTTAAATTGATCTAAGATGGGGGAGGAGAGATAAAGGAGGAGTAAGTAAATCTAATTAAGATGTATTATAAGCATTTATGTAAATGTCACAGTGTACCCCTTGTACACTACAATATGCTAACATTAAAAATAAGAAAGAGTAGTTTTCCACATATATGAGATTGAAAGGCAGGCAAAGCTGCCCCACAGGCCTGTTGTCAGTTACAGCCCTTAAGAAAAAGTGTTTCTACAAGATTTCCCTGGATCCTAACATAGAAAATAGTAAGAAACTTTCCATTGTATGTTACTATAATGTATCAAACAGAAAGTTAAATATTGAAAGAAAAAAAAAAAGACAGGGAATAAAAACTCATTAGAGAAAAGACCTCTAGAAAGGCTGTTTGCTTGTTAGCATTTCTAATCACCTGACATGATTTTAAAACCCAATGAAGGAATTTTAAACCTTTTATCTTGGCATTTTGGAAACTAGGTGAAAAATAATAATTTCAATGCAAAAACATTCTTAAAATACAGCAAATAGTTGACAAAGACAGAAGCTGAACTACATCAAATAGGAGAAAATAGTTGTGAATTACATAAATCATATATCCAATACAGAAAAATGAACTCATACATGTAATAAATAACATTTATAAGTAATAAATAAAAATGCAAAAACCCAACAAACAAAGGATGAAAAGACAAAAAAAGGATGTGAAAAGACAGTTTTCCAAAGAATTACATAAGTACATGAAAGAATTCAATAAGTACATGAAAAGACAGACGCTCACCATCAGCAGTCATTCGGGAAACACAAATCAAAACTACACTATTCCCAAATGGTAGTGTGGCTATCATCAAAAAGAGAGTAACAGGATAAACATAAACTGGAACTCTTGTATGCTACTGGAGGGAAAATAAAAATAAAACTGTGTAGTTTCTTTGAAAAACAGTGTTGCAGTTCCTCAAACAGTTAGCAATTATATTTAATTCAGCAATTCCACTCCTAGGTATATACCTAACAGAGATAAAAGCATACATCTACACAAAAACTTGTACATAATAAATACTCATAGGATCATTATTAATGCTAGCCAAATAGTGGTGTATCTGCACAACAGAACATTAGTCTGCCATAAAAAGTAACAAAGTAACATAGATGAGCCTTAAAAAAATTTATTGTATGTGTGTATGAGGAGGTACTTATCAGAGGTGAGCAGGGTGAATAAAGGAGATTAAGGTGAGAGAATATGATTGATGGACTTCACATACTTATATGAAATAGAACAAAGAAACACAAAAAACTGAAACTAGATCCGCGTCTATCACTCTGTACTAGTATCAACGCAAAATGGATTAAGGACCTTAATGTCAGACCCAAAACTCTAAAGTTAGTACATTAAAGAATAAAGGGAATACTCTGGAAGCTATAGGTATAGACAAGTACTTCCTCAATAGAACTCCAGTAGCCCAGCAACTAAGAGAAAGGATAGACAAGGGGACTGCATGAAATTTAAAAGCTTCTGCACAACAAAAGAAATGGTCTCTAAACTGAAGAGACCACCCACAGAGTGGGAGAAAATCGTTGCTAGCTATACATCAGACAAGGAACTGACAACCAGAATATAGAAGGAGCTCACAAAACTAAACTCTCCAAAAAATCAATGAACCAATGAAGAAGTGGGCAACTGAACTAAGCACAAATTTTGCAAAGGAAGAAGTCTAAATGGCCAAAAAACACATGAAAAAATGCTCACCATCCCTGGCCATAAAGGAAATGCAAATCAAAACCACACTAAGATTCCACCTCACTCCTATTAAAATAGCTATAATCAAAAACACCACCAACAACAAATGTTGGTGAGGACTTGGGGAAAAAGGAACCCTCATACACTGCTGGTGGGAATGTAAGCTAGTACAACCACTTTGGAAAACAATGTGGAGGCTTCTTAAAAAACTAGTATTTTTTTTGAGAGAAGGTTTCACTATGTAGCCTAAGCTGGCAGGAACTTGCTATGTGGCCCAGACTGACTTCACATTTGTGATCCTCCTACCTCTTCCTCCCCAGTGCTGGGATTATGGGCATGCACTAGGTATGCCCAACTGATACTTTTCATCCTTAATAACTTGTATTTACGTAGAAGTGTTTTTCCTACAAAGGAGGATTCTCAAGTCATGAGAAATATCACAGGCAACGTCAGCAATGTCTTCAAAATGTTAAACTAACCAAGTAACATACACGATTCAATAAAATGTTATGCAGACAGCAAAGGATACAAGGAGCCTTTGCTGTCCATTTAAAACCATATTCAATAACCATAATGACTGACACATGTTCAGGAACCACAGAGCAGAAGAGGTAAGTTTCATGATAGCCACATGTGGGAGTACAAAGAATGAACTGATTCACTTTTGATCTGGTGACTGAAGAAAGATTTCTGGATAAGCATGGAAAATAGATAAGTAATAAGAACAGTAAAATTCAAGTTGACTAAATTTCCTATGACTCAAACTATTTTTCAAAGTAATAAAGTCTTTCTATGAACCATGTATGTATATCCATAAACATATATATAAATGCATATATTCACAAGGAACATATATATATACACATGTAAACACACATGTGTGTACACAGTTGTCTAAGATTCTGAAATATAAACTATTCTGAAATGTAGGATGGACATATACAATGTACATATGATAGGACCCTAAAGGATAAATTAGTTTTCAAAAAGTATATTTTAGGAAATGGAATTCCAGATAGAATGAATAAAAGTAGACAATACCTACTTGGTGGATTAATGTACATAAATAAAGAAATGAAACAGTATTATCCATGTTAAGTGACATGTGCCCACCAAAGGAAGGCTATTGTGTATTGAGGGGCATGAAATCTGGTTAGGTCAGAAATCATTTTTATTTTTAAAATCCATACAGTCTCTAAATCTTTGTAAAACGATTGAACTAAAGGTTGTTTCATACTATTTTCTTCATACTATTTCCTTCACAGCAGTCACTATAATCACCAAAATAGGTTGGTAAACCATATTCTGCCTTAAGCCCTATATTTTCATTTCCAGTGAAAATAAAAGAGTTTATAAGCTGTGTGAGCTACACCCCTGTATATCAGTGACAACATCTTCTCTTGTATAGTCACACATTGCTACTAAGTATAAATGAGACAGGAAGAAAGAAGAAAGGAGATGGATGCCACCTGCCTTCCCCTAGTCTTTTACTATGCAATGAAAGAAAATTCATTGCATGTTTCTATAATATTTTACATGTGTATTTGCACAAAATAAATGGTTTCATATTCTTAAAAACTTTAAAAACTTGGGTTAAAATAGTTTAAAGCATAACTAAAATACATTAAAATTATTAAAAACTAAAATAGTAAGAAATAAAGGGAAAGGTTGAGAAAGTAAATAATACAACTGAGGAACGCTTTTGTAATTAAGCACAAAATAGCTCTAAGTCCTAATCACCAAAGCAAATAAGAAGTAAGATGTGCTACATAGATTCTTTGTCTTATAAGAGGGGAAGAATGACATTTGTTAATGTGTGCCAGGCAGTGTGCCCTTTCTGCAAGCCACTTAATTGTCATAGCCCTGACATAGATATCATTCCCTTTCTTCAGATGTGGAAGTAAACATTTTCCAGGTACTATTTTTCTGAGTCCAGAGAGAAATCTGGTTAGAGTCTTTACAAGAGTTAAAAATATAATGAAGAGTAACTTCATCAGTAATAAAGAATACAGAGGAATGTTTTTGTACACATAGCTTCTCTTGACCTTCAATGACACTCATCTTCTGACTACTGATGACACATGAAGGGGACGTGCCAGGTTGCAGCCCTGTGAAGACAATTCTACATTACCTAGTCAAGCATCAGCTACCACCATAACTGACCTCCTTCCAACACATCTGAAGAAATACTGATGGCACTTACACATTTTCTTGAATACAAATATATTATACAAATAATCCGCAGCCTTTCTATCTCTAAAGGTAATTACTTGTTTAACAAAGTTTTTGTAAAAAGAAAAGGTAGTATTTAAAAATGAAAAAACAGCTCTTTGCCAGCCCCTAGGAAACTATTATCATAATTTCTGCTATGTAATTTTCCTAAAATACATTCACACAGATGTTCACTTCACATGCCTTATCATAGCTCTTAGGATACTAGAATCCACAAATTTTCACTTCTCCAAAGTGTACCAGGCCAAACATGGTCACAGGCTGACTAAAATAATGAACATAAACAACCTTGCTTACTTTTAAAAAGATATAAACAGAACTACAATGTTCCAATATTGCCTCCTGAAGACACTAATTATATACGTTACCACTCTAACACAGTGCTTATTTTTCTGTTTTCCCTTTATATTCCCTTACTGGCATTACAGTATTTGCTTTCCACGTTTGTTCACTCAAAAAAAATATTATTGAATCTACAATGAACCAGGACTGGAGATACAAAAACAGAATTAAAAAAAAAAAACAAAACCTGTTACTGTTCCAGCTCACAGTTGAAAAGAAACAATGAAGGCAACAATTAATTGCAAATAACTACAATACACACTACAATGAAGATGGCAATAGAAAGATTTAACTCAGAACAGTAAAGTTCAAATTAATCCTTGCACAAAGGATTTCTGATCTGTTACCCTCTTGGTTTTAGTCACATTCAGCCAACATTAAGACTAAAACTTGTGTTCTTTGATTGCAATTAAGTTTTCTAGGATTTTTTTTTTCAAATGAGCTGTTGTAATACAAGAAACATTCTAATTTTACGTAAAAGGCGCAGGCCTTTCTGTATTCAGAAATCCAACAGCTGCCTCTTCTAGAACTGGCTGCTTTGTAGTCAACCATCCTTTCATGCTGGCTTACAGTGTAACTTTTCTCACTACTATCTGTCTCCACCACCAGGACAGAACTATTTTATATTTTGACCATGGTGGTAAGCACATGAGCCTACCCAAGTAATAAATTTCTTATAATAATACATAAACACACAAAAATGAGTACAAGGAAGGCTGGGAAATCTGAGAAGGATTGGTGGACTGTATAAATGTCATTACCATAGTTGTGATATAATTGCAAGATGTAACCACTGGAGGAAACTAGGTAAAGACTACAGGATATCTGTACAGTAATCTTTACAGCTGCCAGTGAATCTATTAATTATCTCAAAATAAAAGGTTTAATTAAAAAATTAAGTCAGGCTCAGTGGCTCAGGCCTTTAATCCTAGCTATTCCAGAGGTGGGGATTAGGAAGACAGCAGTTTACAGCTAGCCCTGGCAAAAAGTCCACAAGACCCCCATCTCAACCACTACCAAAGCTGGGCATGGTGGTACACGACCATCCTCCCAGATTAATGGAAGCATAAATAGGAAGATCTTGGTCCAGATTCACCTGGGCATAAAAGTGATACCCTATTCAAAAAATAACAAAAGAAAAAGGATCGGGGACGTGGCCCAAATGGTAGAGTGCTTTCCTAGCAAGTGGAAGGCCCTGAATTTCCCTTAGAACCACCAAAAATAAATAAAGCTTTTTCAAAGCTTAACAGGAGACTGGAAATTAAGATGGGTAGGAAGACAACATATCCCAAAAGATATAAAAGATATGAATATATAACATTTTGGCAAAGGCAGTTTTTCAAACTATAATCTCTCTGGGCCACCTACATAGAAATATCTGTAAATACTATTAAAAGGGCATGGTCCTCAAAATCTACTGGGTAACTAATGAAAATACAGGTGTTTACTTCTATACAATCAGAATCTCCCTGAAGATTGAGGCCAGAATGTGCTGTTCTACCAAATTCCCAGGTGGTTCTGTGGGGAACATTAAAGAGAGCACTGTGAAGAAGGAACAGAAAAAGGAAAATTGAGATAAAATTTTAGATGGTTCCAATGACAGCTAATATGAGATTAAGTATTTCCAGTGATTAAAAAAAACATTTTGTTCAAATTGTAATGGACAGAAAACCCTTGCTTATACTGAGTCAAAATGTGCCAAACTGTAAATTTGTACTTAGTTCTACCTCAGCAGCATTACAGACTAACAAGCCACTTTTAGACTAGAAAGACCATCAACTATTTGAAGAGAACTATTATTCCCTCTTAGACCTATACCTCTAAATATATCATTCTAGTTTTTCAACCTTATGCTAGTTTTAAGACCATTAACCTACTAACCCACTAACCCTCATCTACCTCATTTTTTTTTTCTTGAAAGCTCAATCCTGTTACTGATATTTTACACTTAACCATTCAGTCTTTCCAGTAAGAAAGACTGTGCATGACAGTCTTTGATTAAAGGTTGAAAAGAGTTGAAGGCTAGCTCTGGGAATACTAGACGCCTACTTGCAGGTCAACACCAACCAATTAAACACCAATTTGGAAGTAGGGCTGTTTAATGAGCTAGAAAATACAGTTTAACTACATACAATGTTAGCAAGACAACAGTGAATTTAGGGACAGAGCACTTAATTTCTATTCCTATCTTGACAAATTCCAACCTGGACAAAGACACTGAACTTTACTCATTTTGAGTACAGAAATTATAATATGGGTAAAAGCAGATGTTAGTGAAAGAGACAGCAGTAATAAATAAAGAAGATCTAAAACCATGAAATTATGCTTAAGCTTTAATAAAGCTTTGATACTTAGTTTTAAGGGTTTTCTTAAAGGCAAAATTGACATGAAGAATAAAATTAAGAAAGATAATCTTATTCTACCTTTCAATTAGCCTTAAAATGAAGCAATATTTTTATAGTTGTCTGGTGTCAAGTACCATTGTCAAACAAAATTACATAGAATCCTAATACATTAAATAAGTAAAACTGAATAAAGCAAGAATGAGAGCCTCTGACCCCCAAAGTCCAAATCTTCCTGATTCTTGAAAAGAACACTAGGTACAATGGACAGCCATTTGAAAACCAAAGGTCCAAGATGAGGGAGATGTTCCAATAGCCAAATATTCCCACGTGTAAAAATTTTTAAATGTGGTTGCTTTGTTTTATAGAATTTGTGAAAGAAAGGATTTTCAAATGTTGTTAGTTCATAACTTTGTTCACTTTAGCAGAAAAGTATTTTATTCCGTGCTTCTATAAGACAGAAAAGCAAGTTATATGGTCACTAGCTTAACTACAGATGCACTCTAAGTGACCTCTCATCCTTCCTGGCCCTGAGACCCATGATATCCTATTATGTGAGTCACTTTACACCTCTGCACTCTTGGTAATTTTCAGTCCACCATATTTTCGTCTAAGGAGAACAGTTTTAAGAATGATCAAGGGCAGTGTGGTCGTGCACACCTCTAATCCCAGCAGCAGGATCACAATTTTGATGCCAGTCTGGGCTAGCAAGACACTGTCTCAAAAAACAAAACAAAACAAAAGAATTGAAGAAAAAGAATGATTAAGGGCTCCCTATGAGTGCTTAAGGGATGTGAAACTAAGGAATAGTGCATGTACTCACTATTTATGATGTACAGAAATGTTTCTCAAACTCTTTTGACCATGACTCATATTAAGAAGTACATTTCAAACCATTACCAGACACTGAAATGAAAACTTCAGAAAATATTATTTATCCAAACTATTCTCTATTTTATTTTATCCTAACTCATTTTTCAAAGGCTGCATCAGGATTAGCAATCCTCTTCTGAAAAAGTCCACACAATAAATATTTGAGGTTTGTAGGTCAATAATCTACACTGCACTGAACTTCACTTAGTCATTCAATCAACAATCTACTTGTTTTTGAAAAATGCAAGGAGCATTTGTACAATTAATTCTTAACTATCAGAAGGGATTAATAATAATTACCAGAGGATAACTGAAAAACATACTAAGAAAATCACTTAAAATCTGGATATATTTACATCTTACAAAGCAATCATTTCTGAACTTCACAGCAAATAACAATACATCATTACCTCTATTTCAAAATTGAAAGTTTTGAAATTGAATTTCAAAAATTCAAGTTTAATACTCTCAAACTACTATTTTATTGTCTAAGTTACTATTAGATAATAGCCTAGAACTTGATATATTGTATCAACTTTGAACCATGTTTCTTATTAATTTTGATTTGGAGTTATCTTTAGTTTTCTTTCTACTTAATCTCCAAATTACTGAAGAGGTGATCATACAAAAAAAAAAACTTACCTTTCGGCTTGAAGTTTAGTGGTTTTTACTATTAAATCCTGAGTTTGCTCCTTTGCTGCCTAAAATTATAAACATATCTAATATCAGTACATTCTAAATTCATTGTATTTCAGAAAACTAAAGCTACCACTTACTGGAGCCCAGACTAACAGTCATGAAATTACTCTCCAGAACTCAGAAGTTGAAAGGCCAAAGTAACTGAAATAGATGTTTCAAGGCTCATCCACTGTCTTTAATAAGAGGAACTCCTTTGGAATTCTCAGTAACACCTAGGAAAGAAGGCAGAATTGGATGACGACTAAGGAACTTAATAGTTCATCACGTTTTTTAGTGGAACAGCACTGGAAGAGCAAATGAAGGATGAGAACATGACTTCAGTTAGGGGACATGCTGGGTGAAGTACTGTAGACCCCTAAACTGAGGCTATAAATTTAGCTACTGAACTGCTGGTATGGAGCTCACCAAAAATACATAAAATAGAAATTAAAAAATTGGGAAGTTGAGAACTGAAACAGAAAAACTACCTGCCAAACAGGGTGATAGTAAGGATCAGAGATAACCCTATCAAAAAGACACAGGGCTGTTCCTGATCAAGTTTCATACCTAGCAATGCTCCCATCCCCAAGCCAATCTGAAAAGATCAGCACTATCCAAAGATTAGCCAGCCATTTGTCAAACAGATTCAAACAAAATAGAAGTCTAGCCAATAAGATTCTCTCTCAAAGACCCAAACTATAGACTATTACAAAAATAAGGTAGTAAGCAATTAAAGGGAAAGTAAGTGGATATGAGGCAGGTAGAGACAGGGTCTATGCTTTGAAGGGACACTGAGCCAGAATTATAAATAAAACAAGTCACTAATAAAGGGGAAACTATAAGGTAGACAAAAAATATATAAAGCAGAGTAAGTCAACCTGTTAAAGAGAGGATTCCACAGCAAACAGCTGAAAATACTGGATCCTTTTCATGGTGGAATACTATAACAAAGAGCCAAGCTCTACTCTTCAGGCTTCCAGAGCTGCTTCAGATCCAGATGATACAGCTCTAGGTTCTAGGGGCCTCATCCTCCTCCCTGCAAACTACTCTTGGAATGTCAGTTGAAATTCAGTGTTATTGCTTCCCACAAATCCTGTCAGTGACAGCTCTCACTTCCACCTCCAGTGAAGACATTTTGAGTCTGTGTCCTTGCAACCAAATTATATTTCTAACAAGCAGTGATTATTTTTAAGAAAGTGGATTTGAACATAAATAATTCGGCATATCACTAACTTTTAAGGAACAGACTAAATATGATGGCTTCCTGGGTACTCTTATGGAATTAACAGTTTTCAGATCCAATAACTTCTTCAAATGCTTATATTTCTTAATGTCATTTTGCTTTAAAATTTACTTCCATCCATGTACATTCTTGCTTTGTACAATTTTTTCAAATATAGTATCCCCTCAATTCTAAGAAATATTTATATTATACATTTGAAAAAAGAATGCTTCACAAAATCAATACTAAAAAATGTTACTAGCTTCTTTTTAGTCCCAGTCATTTTTTGAGGGTATATGTTACAATCAATAATATTTAAGTAATCAATGAAACAGGGTATTTTAGAATCATATAATGTAATAAGAATTTTCCATTTTTTTCATATTTTCTGAAAATTGTAGTGATTTCAAAATAATGTTTAACAATACTAGTAAAGACTATCATCCTAAAATAGTATCTTAAATATTAAGGATGATTATTTTTTCTTAATGTAATAAACATAATTCTAAATGTAATTTATGTAAGCAAAACCACAGCTAAAGGGATAAACCACAGCACATAAAGTTATTGATTAAATTTTTAAATGTTATTTCATAATGTTTAAATGCCCCAGGTTTAAAATATTTTAGAAAATAGTAAATCAATCCTAATAACACTCTATAATGAAAAGAAGGAAAGACACTCTACAAACTACTATTCTTTATGAGTGAACACATTAAAAACATTACCCTCAAACTGATGAGTGGGTACTCTTAAGATTCAAATAACACTATATAGAATTAAATTAGTTTATGAAAAATTGAGAATGAACAAAACTTTCAAAATCATGGATCTAACGCCTACTGATGTAAGAAATGATACAGGGACCAGAAATTAATATAAACAATAGTAGTAGGTAATAGCAAATTTTTTTCAATTAAATTAAAAAGCTATGAGGGAGTGGGCAAAGTGGTGCAAACCTGTAGTCCCAGCTCATTAGGGGGTGGAGGCAGGAGGATCCAGGGTTCAAGGCCAACACTGGCAAAGTCAGAGGCAAGATCCTGTCTCAAAAAGCAAAACAGACGGGGTGGGGATGTGGCTCCAGTGACTAAGCACTTGCCTAGCAAGCATAAGACCCTGTGTTCAATATCTAGTACAGTAAGGGAAAAAGAACTATGACAGAATCTTTTCAAGTGATGAAAATATTGTACATCATTAATAGAGCACTTGCCTAGCCCTGGCCCTGATTTTGATCTCCAGAACCAAAAAATAAAATACAGGTTCATCAAAATTCTAGTTACCTCTGTACTGGAAAGACCAAAAAAGAAAGGTTTCTGGAGCTAACTAAATAATACTAATAAACTGTCACTAAAAGAGATATAAAATGTTTCTAGGTACTGCTAAAGCATAAGATTTGTATTCAAGCTCCCTACGGGGTATGTACCAGATAGCCATACATTTTGGAGACCTACCTAACAATTTCTGAAATCTTACTTTGTACCAGGAACTGTAATAAAAATCTAGCCACTATACAGCACCTGTAGGCGACTCGTCATATCTTGACAACAGCTGCTCATTGCTTGAACATCTTCATTTATGTTTTCAAGTTCCTGAAGAGAAGAGAAATAACACCAAACATGCTATACACTATTAATAAAATTTCTCTTCTCACAGGCAAGTCCTTATTTTAGTTCTATAGGGTTTTTTGTTTTTGTTTTGTCAAGGCATGACAAGAGATCCCATTTAAAACTGGAAATGATTAAAATAACAGTAATTAGTTTATGGGATTAAAAAAAAACTAGTCAGCTTTTAGAGGGTATAAGAAAGCAGCAAATGCTTTCAAAATATGTGTACTTCTTTTTACAGGAATTCGAATTCTAAGAATTTATTCTATGACCACAAAAATGAAAACTGTAAGGTAATAAATATGTTAATTAGTTAGATTAAACCATTCTACAATTTACATATGCCTTAGGTACTCTTACACTGCTTATAAAGTCTTTGAGTTTGTACAGAGTTATCAACTTTTTCCCCTCAATTAAACAAAGTGGTAGGTTGTAAAAATTCAACTGGTATATGATAAAACATTTTATATGAATATCAGAAAGTTGAAATAAGATGAATGCCTATGTACCCATCACTGGCTTCAGCAATTATCAACTCCTGATCACTCTTATCTCATCTGTCTTCCTGCCCACTTTCTACCTTTATTCTCATCCACTTTCTCTTTCCCCCACAAACTGAATCATTCTGAAGCAATTCTAGATATCATTTCATTCATAAACATATCTTTATTTACTTCTTAAAGGACTCTGAAAGAACCAATGCATAATGTCATTTTTATACTGCACATCCACAATAATCTCTTAATATTGAACACCTGCTCTGTGTTCAAATTTCCCCAGAAGCCTCATTTTTTTAAAAAATTGTTTAAACAGGGACCCAAATAAGATTTACTAGTGAGCCAGGACCCAGTAGCTCACACCTGCAATCCTGTAATCCTTGGGAGGTTGAGATTGAGAGGATTGCAGTTCAAGGACACTCAGGCAAACTGTTCACAAAATGTCCATCTCCAACCCAACCAAAGCAAAATGGACTGGGGATATGGCTCAAGTGACAGAGCACCTGCTTTGCAATTGTTAAGCCCTGGATTCAAACCCCAGTCCCACCAAAAGACAAAAAAGGATTAACAACTAGTAATTGGTTGATTATTTCTCTTATTTTCTGTTTTAGTCTACAGGTTCTAACTCAGATTTCTTTGCTGAAGAAGACAGTTCATTTGTTTCCACAGCTCCGAACATTACAGATTTTTCTAACTGCTTCTTCATGGTATTGGCTTATTCCTTGCTATCTAGAATTTCCCAGATTCAGATGTCTATTATAGTCTAGGTAAATTTTCTAGCAAGAATTCTTCATGGGTGATGTTGTACACCTTTATTAGGAAACACGTTATCTGGTTATTTCCTTTTTGTGTGAGGTCAACAGCTAGTGCTAACCAATGGCTAGATTAGTGGTTCTCAACCCCAGTGAATTTTGCCAGAAGAGCATTTGGCAATGTCTACATACATTCTTGGTTGGAACAATTTGGGGCAAGATAGTGCATCTGGCATCAAGTGGATAGACATCAAGAGATGTTGTTAGAAGCCTATAGTTTGGAGGGCGGTCCCCAACATATATTTGGCCCATAAGGTTAACTGTGCCAAGGTTGAGAAATCCTGAGCTACATAAATTCAACACTGATTGCAAAAATCTTACTGTATACTATTTCTTCTTCACTTATTAGCTATACCACTTCTATAAAGAACAACTATATGCAGTTGGTAAAAAAAAAAAAAAGACAAGATAAGGGTTGGACTCTTTCCTGTTATTTAGCTCTTTTCAAAATAGTAAGTTGGTTTCCTTATATCTACCAAAGACCAAGGAGGGTTCTGTTTTATTTTCAGTATTGTGAACTCAAGGATTTCATGTTATATTTAGTCCACTGCAGTTATTCTTATTGAGGCTCAAATTGTCCTATCTTAACCAATGGAAGCTTATCTCCAGAGATGTTTGACACTTATCCAACAGTCTTAAGACAGCTTTCTTGCTTTCTGGTACTAATAATATTATTTCTTTTGTGTCTTTCAGTAGAAAATTATGTTTAAAAATCACAATCTGGCTATGTTTACCACTATTATTTCTTCTTTTTATATGAATTCTACCAAGCTTTCCTTTAAATCTTCCAGATTGTTAGTCCTCAGTCAATGAAATCCTACTAAACTGTTAAAAATAATTTGTTTTTATTAAGTACTTATTAAAACCACACACAACACTTACGTAAGACTCACATACAAATGCATAAATATTGGATAACATAAATATCTTAGTATATTAATAACTATGTATTAACATAATAATAAAATGTCACATAAATAAAATTAATTTTCACCCTACTGTGAGTAGGCCACACTCAAGTATGATGAATTATTATTTATGCATTGAAGTAATTATTCTGATCTATAAACTGTATAATTTAGGATGCTGTAAAAATTAGTCAATACTAATCAATCTCCAGTGATTATCCAAAGGAAGTTTATTCAGTGAGGGGTTAATTCTGGAAAACCATTCAGAGAAATGTTATTTTTTATTAAAGTGCTAAAATTCATAAGAAAATTTCCCAGAACAAATGTTACAGCCTTCTAAGAACCAGTATAACTGGAGTCAATGATTTATAAATCAAACAAATTCAAAGAAAGACCCAGATACAGCAGAGTGTAGTAAAATTTTTTATTTAAATGTAGTACCTAAAAAGAAAATGTACCAACCTAATTTTCCAAACTACTGAGGGTTCATGGACATGGCTCATATGGTAGACTGCCTGCCTAGTAAGGGTAAGGTTCAAAAACTCCTGGACCACAAATATATAAGTAAATAAATGAATAAATAAATAAATATTTAGCACAGAGCCAAGTACATAAGTTCTCAATAAATGCTAAATAAAAACAATTTACATACCTTTCACTTCCTTGAAAATGCTTACAAATTCTTCATTGATGGCTAAACTTCTGCGTTCAATATCACCACGTAAATTTCTTCGAGTTCTCAAACTATTTTCAACGAAAAAGGATGAAAGTGCCTTGAGAGCTTCCAACATCTCCTACATAATTGATAACAGAACAGAATAAGTGGGACTGATTTTTTAAGTGGTTTCCTAATATCAAGCCGAAATGCAGTGAAATTATTTTCAAATCACTTGTTTCCATTAAACAGTCCAAAAAAATGTTTGATAACTTTCAACTTACTGAGCAGTAAACTTATTTCCAGAACATAATAAGGGTATACTTACTTATGTACAATGGCATATTTACAAGGTTATTTACTACAGAATTGTATGGAATTGCAAAGTTTGGAAATAATTTAAATGTTAATCTAAAAGGGAATGGTTAAATAAATCATAACTTTAATTTTTAAAAAGGAGAAAATTCTTTATGCACTTACATAGCATGAATTCTGATATAGGGTAAGTGGAAGTATAGAACGGTATAGAAAGTTATAGGTTATTTTTTTCAGAAAGGATCACCTGCTGAAAAGGACTGGGGGACATGGCTCAAGAAGAAGAGAACCTGCCTACCAAGTGGGAGACCCTGAGTTCAAACACCAGCATTATAAAAAAAAAAAAAAAAAAAAAGACACTGAAGAAAGGAGGGAGGAAGGGAGAACACCTACAGAGAGAGGTGGGAGCAGAGAGCAGAGTCAAGCCCAGAATATCTCAAAGCACCTGAAATTCCAGACACAAATTCCTACACCTGAACTAATGTACATTCTGCCATCTTTTTATTATGTTATTTAAAAAATATTGGTTGGTTTAACAAAAATAATAGCTATTTAAAGGTCAATTTAGTATTTGAGAGAGTAAAATATATTTGCAACTACAAATACTTGTTTACACACACACACACACACACACACACACACACACACACACAATGAAGCAGTTTGTTTGAACTATACCCTTGAAATGAAATGTCCTAGGATCTGGCTGAATGAACAAAATCATACAGACCTGTTGTAAAACTAGCTGCACCAGCTACTAGAAAGTGGCTACACTCTGTCCCTGCCTTATTTTTCTCCTGGGTAAAAATAAGATAATGTTATCTTTTTCAGAGTAGCTGTTTTAAATGCATTAACAATTACAAGATGCAATGAATTCATGGCAAAATCAACATTTGTAGAAAAATAGTAAGCACTGGGCACTGTGTTAAGGACTTCACCTGCATTCTCTGAGTGGTCTCAACATCCCTGAGAAAATCACCAGCAGGTTCCCAGTCCCTACACACAAACTCAGATAAGTGCCAAGACTCACTCAAATCACAATGCACAAAAGCAGTGTTTATAGCTAACAATAATTAGTGGTCCCAAAGCCCTTGCTTCTTACTCTTTTTTTTTTTTTAACACACAGGAGTCACATTCTCACTGACAGTTCATTTTCAGTTACCTACATCTTCATCTACGAAGTTCTCACTTTAACGTGTGTTTTCCTGATGCCCCATTGCATGACCAGTCTACCTGGCCAGTGGATGATGTCGAAGAAAAAGCCAGCCATGACGGGGGCTGGAAAGTTCACCCTCAGCCAGGGAGGGCTTGAGAACCTTAAACCCACGAACAGTGCTTGGCTAACAACAACAAAAACTAGTCAACAGGAGTTCACTGAAGCCACGGGAAGTTGTTCGCCCTGCAGATTGCTGTCTTTTCCACCTGCCAATGGCCATGCCGCGTGCTGCCCCTGTCCTAGCCCGTCCTCGCGTCCCTCCCACGTCCACTTGCGTCGCCTCATCCTGCAGTCAGCTGTCACTCATGGTTTCACCCCGTCCGGGGCTGGAAGGGCGCCGCTTTCCGGGAGGCCATGGTCCACGTCCCCGCGGCGGAGTCTCCACAAGCCTTTCCAACTGAGAAAAAGCCCACGAAGCCCCTTCGTTTTCCGGGGCTCCCTGGGTCCCCTGCCCACTGCCCCGCGCAGGGCAGCGGCGCGTCCCGTAAGCCTGGGTCACTCACGGATCCCTGCGCACAGGGGACCGGGAAAAGGGCAGCGCGTGCAGGACACGGGGATCCCTGCCCGCCGCGGTTACCTTGTCGTTGTCCAACCGCGTCTCTAGGATCTTCTGCAGCTTGCGCGACAGTGGGTTGGGCTGCGCCGAGGTCCCGCCAGCCCCATTGCTGAGGCCGTTACTGGCCCCAGAAGTTGACACCACTACCACTTCCCCGCTGCTCTCGGCCATAGCGCTGTGCGACTGGCCCCCGAAACCGATGCTGCCAGCTCAGCACGGCCGTGTCGGTGCGCGTACTGCGCATGCGCTTGTCGGGCGGCGCATGCGCGCCGGCATCTGGAGCGTGGCCAAGCCTGGGATACCGGAAGTACAACGGTTCGAGACCAGCGGGGAACTCTAGAGTGGCAGTAGGGAGAAATTTATGGGATTAAGAGGAATTTAGTCATATCGAATCTAACAAATTGTGAGCTACTTAGATAGAGTACCTAACATGTACTTAAAGCTTTGCGTGGCATACGTATTCAATAATTTGATTCTAAGTAAACTCACTTTAAACTCATCTTTCGGAAAAGTATTTATTGAAGATGTAGACTGTGATAGGGACTCTGGTAGTCCCTGGACAATCTACCTTCTGTGTCTGAGATGGATAAAGGGGATCATAAATGTTTTTAGGTTGTGACAAGTGATCACAAGGAAATGAGTAACGGAAGAGAGTAATGGAGGGAGAAGCCTGCTTCACTGAAGAGGGCTGGGAGAGATTTATGGAAACTCAGAAAAGTGAGGAGAAATCAAAGACTTCAAAACAAAGAACTTTGCTGTCTCACAAATTTACTCAAGCCAATATAGCTGCAAGGCAGTGGACAGAAAGTAAGGAAGAAGATGAGAAATAAATACCCAGGACAGTAGAAACCTTCTACTATCTCCAGGTCTGTGGGCTGTTTTTTCACTATCTTGACAGATTCCTTTGAAGTATAAATAATCTTAATTTGATGAAGTCCAATTTATCAGTCTTCTATTATTTGTGATTTTGATGTCATATTCAAGAAATCATTGCCTTGCCCATGTTCACAAAGATTTATTCCTGTGCTTTCTTCGAGGTGTTTTCTAGTGTTAGTATACACACTTAAGTCTGTCATCCACTTTGAGTTATTTTTTATGTATGATGTTAGATAGGGATCCAACTTCATTGCATCAAATGTGCATACCCAGGTGATCCCAGCACTACGTATTGAAAAGATCATTCTTTCCCTCATGTGATCTTTTCTATAGATGCAGGAAATGAAGATGTAAAATTCAATCCATATCATGATGAAAAAAATGTGATTATAGCAGGGGAACTTATACAAAACAACACTACAGCAAATATCACACAAAATGAAGTATTTAAATTTTTCTCCGAGAAATTAGGAGTAAGATAAAGATATCTGCTATTGTTACTTGTATTCAATATTGCACTGGAGAATCCAACCAGGATAATAAACCAAAGGAAAAAGTCATGAAGACTAAAGAGAACAAAGAAAAACTCACTATTTGCAGATTATACAATTGTGACTCTGGAAAGTCTAAAAAGATTTATATAAAAATTATTAGATTCAATAATTAACAACCTTTTTCAAAAATTTTTATCAAATCCCCAAAAGGTACTGAAGCTTGATGAGATGGACAGGAGGTTATAAGACTTTAATGCCTGATTGCAAATATATGTTTTTGATGTTGATCAAGACTTGCTTCTTTAGCTCCCATTGAAAAGCCTGTAAAGATGGTTAGAAATCCAACATTAGAAAAGATATAGGAAGAGATGAAGTTGCAGCTGAGATTTCTTTAGCTTTTAATAGAATGTCTAATTCCAGGGCAGGGCGTAGTGGTTCACGCCTGAAATCCCAGCTATGTGGGGACTGAAAGGAAAAGATGGGAGGATTGTGGTTTGAGGTCAGCCCTGCCCCCCTCAAAAAAACTTAATGAGACACTATGTCATAAGCCAGGCTTAGTGGTAGACACCTGTATTCTCTGCCACAAGGGAATCAGAGGTAGGAAGATCTCAGTCTGAGACTCGTAAGCGTGAGACCCTACCTGAAAAATAAAGAAAAAAAAGCTAAGCATGTGATTCAAGTGGTAAAGCATTTGCTTAACAAGTTCGAGACCCTGAAATCAAACTCCAGTAACCATCAAAAAAACTAATTTCAATGTTATTTAAGCTACTCTACAATTCAGGATTTCTTAATTTTGGTACTATTGACATTTAGGGATAAATAATTTTTGTCATGAGGGCTGTCCCGCTCATTGTAGGGTGTTTGACAGCATTCTAGGCCTTTACCCACTAAATGCCAGAAGTACTTTCCCCACTTGGAACTATCAGAAATGTTTCAGGAAGAATGAAATCTTATCATTTGCAAGTAAATGGATGAAACTGGAGAACATCATTCTGAGCGAGGTTAGCCAGGCTCAGAAAACCAAAAATCGTATGTTCTCCCTCATATGTGGACTTCAGATCTAGGGCAAATACAGCAGTGTGGTTGGACTTGGGGCACATGATAAGGGGAGAGCACATTCGGGAGGTAGGGGATAGGTAAGAAACCCAAAACATGAAAATATTTGATGTCCCCACTGCAGAGGCACTAATACAGAAACCTTAAAGCAACAGAGATCAATATGAGAAGGGGATCAGGAACTAGAGAAAAGGTCAGGTAGAGATGAATCAACTTGGGATGTAACACATTTGTACATGAAAGCAATGCTATGAATCTCTGTATATCTATTCTTGTCTCAAATAGCAAAAATGCTTTGTCTTTCTTATTATTGCTTATGTTTTCTCTTCAACAAAATTAGAGATAAGGGCAGAACAGGTTCTGCCTAGAAACGAGGGGGGGATGGGGAGGAGAGGGAGGAGATGGGGGCAGGGGGAGAAATGGCCCAAACAATGTATGCACATGTGAATAAATGAATAAAAAAAAGAAGAAGAAAGGGTAGGGGTAAGAAGGAGAACAATGGAGGGATAAACCAAACAAGGGTGCCTTGTGCACATACATAGAAATGTCACAACTAAACCCCATGTACATCTAATATATACTAATAAAAACATTTAAAAACAAAAAAAAAAGTTTCAGGAAATTGCCAAATGTTCCTGAGGGGCAAAATCATCCTGGGTTGGGAATGAATTTTCTAGATTTAAGTATATTGGTTATCGAACACTATTAAACAAATTACCTCCAAACTAGTATTTTAAAAGAATAATTTCATCACAGCTTCTGTGCATCAGGAAATTCAAAGTGACTTGGCTAAGGGTAGCTCCTGAAGTTGCAATCAGATTCCATCATCCAGAAGCTTTCCTGGTGCTGGAGGATGTGCTTCTAGGTGGCTTATGTGCATGGCTGGCAAGTTGGTGGCTCATGTGGCAGGAGACTCAGTTCATCCCCAAATGGGCCTCTGCACAGAGCTATTTGAGGGTCCTCAGAACTGTACACTCTTACTGCTAGGTATCTACTGTGGTAGTAATGAGATAATTTGACAAAGGTATATGGACAAAGATATCTATTGTATCATATTTAATGACAGAAAAAAGGAAGGAAGGAAGGAAGGAAGAGGGAATAGGGGAGGAGGGAGGAGGATGGAGGAAGGAATGGGGAAGTGGGAAGGAGGGAGGAATGAGAAAGAAATCAGGGGAGGAAAGGAGACAACCATTGTTCATCAATAGAGGGCTGAACAAATAAGTTATGGCACACATTCATGCAGCAGAATACTATGCAACTGCTATTTACTATAAAGGAGATTTAAATACTAATGTGGAAAGACTTCCAAAGTGTAGTATGTGAAAAAAAAAACAAGGTTCATTATATTATAAAGTGAGATTGCTTATGAATATGGCATGGAGAACTACATACAAAATTAGGATTTTTTTCTAGAAGGCCATTCCAGTGCTTGGGGCTCCTGTGGGCAGGAGCCTTCCACTTTTCATTTTATACCTTTCTAAACTGAAAATTCCTAATATTACCCATATATTGCTACATTTATTAAGAGGCTCTTAAAGTAGGGTAATTTTATAACTCATTTCTTTGTTTATATGTTCTTTAAACTTGTGATTGTAAAAAAGGAGAAGTGATCTGTAAATTAGAGTAATATGTGGTATATATGAAGACAAGGAAATTATTATAAAATAAAAATATATTCAATGTCATGTATAGATTTTTTTTTTGAGATGGGATCTCACGAAATGGCCCAGGCTGACCTGAAACTCAAAATCCTCTTGCCTCCACCTCCTGAGTGATGGATCACAGGCATGCACCACCATGCTGGGCTCTCATTTGCAAATTATTAATGTTTATTTAAGTGTCATATGCTTATAAGGATATCTGTGTTATAAGTGCTTAAAGTCAGTATTTGTCAACAATAAGAATAAATGTTGATATGTCTAGTGAGAAAAGTTTTTAAATAAACTTTTTCTTTTAGTAAAAAATATTGAAGATAAACTGGGTGCCAGAGTCTCATGCCTATAACCCTGGCTACTTGGGAGGCTGAGATTGGGAGGATCAAGGTTCAAGGCCAGTCCGGGCAAATAGTTTATAAGACCCCATCTTCAGAATAACCTGAGCAAAATGGACTGCAGGTGTGGCTCAAGCAGTAGAGCACATGCTGTACAAGTGCAATGCCGAGTTCAAACCCCAGTCCCACAAAAAAGAGAAAGAAAAATATTGAAGATAATTTTATATATTGAGCTCCTTATTATACTAGAAAATTAAAAGGAAGGCTCTCTGACCTAAATATTTTAATATAAAAGGAGAACAAATGCATGTAAAAGAGCAAAGGAATTTCCGGATGTGGTGGCAGACACCTGTAATTCCAGCATTCAGAAGGTGAAGGCAAGAGAATCAGGAGTTGGAAGCCAGCCTGATCACATATCAAGAACCTGTCAAGAGAGAGAGAATAAGAATGAGAGAGAAAGACAAGAGAGAATAAGAGAGAGAGAGAATGAAAGAGAGAGAGATAGAGAGCTTTAACAAGCTACAGAACCACGCTGAGAGTAAAATGTGGGGATTCTTAACTTGCACATAATGGTTAAGGGGAGGTCCCTTCCAATTTCCCATTCTTCTGTGGGTGATAATTTGAGCTTTCTTGACCTTTGGCTTCTGAAATAAGTGGAAGTCACATTGTATTGGCTACTACCATGGCTTTACCACAATATGATAGGGCACTCATTGAAGCCATGTCTAATGAGTCATAGAATTTTCAGCCTTCTACATTTTCTACCGTATTAATGATAATAGCTCCCGTA